GAGCTGAGCGATGCATTGCTAAAGCCACGTTCAAGTATGAGCATATGTATACCCTAACGTTCCCAAGCTAGAAGCGAGACATCAGGGGGAAGCGAGACACTGTCTGTGCGTAAATATCCGTACTATTACCATAAGAGATACATAGATTACAAGAGGAAAAAGTCATGTATTTCAATGCGTGAACAGGGCCAGGGGGAAGTATACCATATAAGGAAGTAGTAAACAGAAGAATAAGAAAGAAAGGAAACCCAGAATGAACAAAAAAAAAATGAAAGATAAGGTTACTGGCGGTGGGTATGCAGACTCATTCGATGAAGCCATTCAGATATCAGGTGTAGATCTTGCATTGAGGAAGCCGAAGCATGCCCAGAGTAGCTGCTCTCCTCCGTATTGCTTTGGGGGCTGTTGGCGGTAGTGCCATCCACACTGGAGGTGTCTGAGTCCCATTCTGTACGCTTCTTGAAATAATGTAAGGGCCAGGGGAGAGAGGGTGGCTGTGCACTTGCGGTTAAGAGGTTGAAGCGTACTCGGCAGGGGGTGAATGGTGTAACATGAATAGTAGAAGAAGTACTAGGAGTGGAATGCTGTTGGGGAGTATGGTGTGGTGTTGTAGGTTTACTCCTAAATGTTTTTGCTGAAGCCTTTTTCTTCGTATCGGCTTTCCTCATAACTTCCAAAGCTTCAGCTCCAGTGATCACTCTTGCCTGGCTGATGATCCGGCAATCCTTTTTGACATCTTTTGCAATCTTGATCTCCACTTGCAACCTCTGCATCTCCATAGTAGCAATATTGGTTGCAGTCAGGTTATATTCGGCCATATGTAAAAAGTGAAGAATAAGGTCACATATTTGACCAGGGCTTGCTGTTTTAATAAAACTAAGTACCTGGTTAGTTTGTTGGCGGAGTTGACACTTAGTATATGGTGTTTTATCAAGCAGAAAGTCGCTTGCCAGATGGGTTGTAGGAGGATAGGTGTGGTCTTTATTTGGTAATACCATGCGGGGTAGAAAGGAGACAATGCCAGTCTTTCGAAATGCACTCCTAATGTTTTGCTCAGTATAGGCCTTTGCCTGGGCTTCCTTATAGATGGGAAGGAAATTGCGATAGCTGATACCAATATTGGTTGTATTATGGTAGTTTTTGACAGCTTTACCATAATGCTTCTGAAGAGGCCCAAATAATCCGACATCTAATGGCTGCAGTAGATGTGTCGAGTGAGCCAGTAAGCAATAACAGATAATATTATTCTTATCACAAAACTCGCAGAATTGGAGGTTAACATGTAAAGAATGGCTATTGAGAATAAGTAGCTGCTTATCCCCTCCACATCCCAGCCAGCATGCATGTTCCAAACTACAAGGGTGGTATATCTTGGTCAACCAGTAGTAACCCAGCTCCTCATCCATCTACCCCTTTGGAGATTTTCCAAATCTTACATCCTTATCTTCCTCTTTAACATTCTCGAACTGACCATATATGTGTACCTTACCCTTCGTAATTAGGAAAGTGGGGAAGAGAAAGCTATTAGTAGAAACTGTCCCCATCAGAGTGACCATCTCCCGCTTCCCATCCTGTTTGATATAAGTGTTTTTTCTCCCACGTCGGATAATCACTTTCATCTTTGCCGAGTAACCTAAGATAATTCCTTTCTCATCAACATTGGTAATGTTGTGATCTTTGATATTATACTCAGCCAGGAGTTTTCCTAGCTTGGTGCAGTAGTCCTTAATCGTCATATACTCATTCGCATATACTCGCTGCTTATCCTTTCTTACAGCAAACTTCGCAACCAAATCAGGTTGCCGATCAAGCAATTGGGTAATCCAATTTCTCTCTAATCCCACATGTACCATATTCTTTCTTCCCTCCATCTCATATCGTACCTTTAAGGCCCTTCTCTCCTCAACTGCCAAGCTCTCGGTCATCTGCCAGACATGATCTAAGCGAGGGGAAAATCCATGAAGCTCAAGCTTGGAAATCCACTGCACAATTGCCTTCTCTGCCACTGGTGACAAGATCTGATCACCCTCATGTGCTTTCTGGCAGTTTTGCTGGCCATTCATGCGATGACCAAGGGTCAACTTTGGAATATCGAATGTGATCACAGTCTCACTGAGGGAAGAGCATTTCCCACTGACCAGTGCTTGAATAACCTTGGTTATCCAGTTCTCTCGTTCCAGTATGCTAGAATTTGATTGTACTTTGAATTTTGGCATCATGGATATTGTTTTTCGGGATTGCACAGGCAAGAGCAGGGTACACTCCTGGTTGTATCATGTATTAGATCTTATCTTGATTTTATAGCTGTCTAGCTAATCCCTGATGTCTCGCATCTACCTTGGGAACGTTATATGAAATAGCCCAACCAGACGGGGATATAATAGAGAACATGGAAGAGAGTACGGAGTCCAAGCTAGACCTGCCCCCCGTCATGCGCCCATAAAACCGATCTACTTATAGCTCTCCTAGAAGGGTCATTTCCGAAACATTCTTGGAGCGCGGCTACGATATACTATGCACACTAGCTCAGTTCCGGCATGTTTGTCCGTCGGCCACCGCAGCATACTCAAATCTGATAATATCTATTATCGGGAATAGTCACTCGCCGGGTCAGAACGGTGAAGGGGAGATTACATTCCTCAATGACGTAGAGCAAGTTTGTGATGCCGAGCAGGGCCTCTAGGACTCCGAGGCCACCTCCTGTGTAGCTCAATCCTCCCATTCGGTTTCCGGGGGTTTGAATCGTGGAGAACAGGAAGCGAGTGTTTCTATAAAACATGTGCTCCATTGCTCCAGGAAAGGATTCTCACTTAATCGGGTGGGACACACCCTCAGCAATCAGCATAGCTACAGAATCCCTAAAAGGCTTTTTAATTACGGTTTGACTCTGTATTCTAGATGCGCACCTAACCAGTTATTGTTCATGACTCGCCACTCGCTCCCACCTTTTCCACCCACACTAGCACCACCGCCGTCTCCAAATATTCTTCTACAGCCGCACCAGCAATTCCGCCTCCTCCTGCTAATGAGCGTTGCTCACCTCAACCACACATTTCTACCTGGTGTTAAGGATTTCCTTCCCAATCCACCATAAACGATACTAGGCTCAAACTAGTCTGGGGAGGGGGGGGGCAGTAAACAGTGCACGAACACTACAGAAAATCTAGAGGATATGCGAGGGAAAACGGCCATTTCCTAACTGCGCACATCAGCAGTGAACCTTCCCGACACCGTGAATCACTCGATATTACTCGCTCCCTGGACTAATCAAATTTTTACTTTTCGGGCAGGAACATCCAATCGGAAAAGTAGTCCACTCAGCCAAGCGAAACCATTTTTTTCCCGGTGGCGAGATGGAGTGTGTAATATCGTCACCAGACAGAAGAGTCTTATAGCGCAATGGAAAAAAGTACTGAACCTAGCAAGATCCCCTAAGTTACGAAGTCACAAAATCCAACCATCCACGTTGCTCCAGCACGGCCATTCCGTAAAGGCGCTTGCGGCCCCGCACAAGCCGGTACCAGACCGGACACCATATGCCTCCGCTCTAACATATCGATCGTCAATTATTGCAGCACACTCGTGCCGACTACGTTGATCATAGTCGATATTCATTGGCCAGCGCAGAAACGATAGCGGGAAAAGCTAGCTTTCTCAAACCGGCACAGGAAAAGGGACGGAGACGCACCACTCACCCCCTGAATATCCCGATAGATAGTTTTATCCCCGGAATTCTGCGTCGAGCCTAGTCACTCAAGCTCGGAACTACCATACGGTCTGGTTTCAGTTCGGCATCCGGAGAAAGTTGGATGCGCAGTTGCTGAGTAGGGCCTTTCACGACGAGTTGTTATGGTCTACAAGTAATGCTGCCGTGTGCCTAGCTTGGTTCCCTGAAAGGTTTGGCCTTCCCGCGATGGGCAGCCCTTCACCTCGTCCGGAGACTATATCTACTCTTTTGCTATCATTACGCTACATTGTGCTGGCTAGCCGAGCAGGAGTGCTGGGCTAGACCTACCTACAGTGTTATCTATTTGGTCATGGAGGTGCATTTTACGTCCATCCTCTTACAGGCTATCATACTAACTTTTCAACGACCGCGTAGGCGATCAATAACTGTATATTTTATTTCCCAGGCCACCATAATAATATTATAGAAACACCTGCTACAAAGAAGAGATGACCAGGAATTCGCTGTAAACCCACGGTGAAGGTCCAGACAAAGAAACCTTAAAGTAAGTTGACCCACTAGAAGGCCCATTATCCCTTCGGCGCCCATTACAATAAATATCACAGGAGATCTTCCTTATCCAATAAGATAATTTCGGCTTCTCCCTCAGAAAAAAAAGTACTATCCCTTCACTCCGTTCGGGGCATTCGATAAAAAAAGAATAAAAAGATTCCTTGAGCACCCCCTGGTATGATATTTCATGTTCTAATCCCATCCATATGTGCCCACTCTTCCAGTCCCGTCCGGCCAGACCCGCTAGTAAAAAAAAAGAAAAGCCAACCGTAACCCACCTAAACTAAACTAAAAACAAAGACTAGGCAAGATCGAGAAAGTTGAAAAGGTTGAGAAAAAACCCCGAAGAGAACAAAAAAAAAGAACCCCCCGTAGCGCTATCGACGAAATGAAATGATCTATGTTCGAGTAGTATAAGTGTCTTGCTGTCCTTATGCCAAACACATAACGTGGAAAATTCAGATTAAAGGGGACAAAAGGAAATTTACAAAGGAATAATTAGGTGCCTAGTAGGTAGGCAGGTAAGTAGTAGCAAGGGAAAGAAAATCGCTAAAGGAAGGCAAAACAGGATAAGGTAGGCAATGGGAAAAAACAATTAACCGTGAATCGAGTTACTCAAACTTTTTCTACTTCTTCCCCCCATTCACCCCCACCCCGTTCCTTCCATCTGTCTCCTCATTTCCCCCTTATCCGTTCACCCCGCTCCCACAAAATGTTTCTTTTTCCAGCCCTCCTACCCCCAAATTCAAACCATTGAATACTACTTTCTCTCCACCTTCTTTTTTCCAAATCCTGGGAGTCGCCACTTCTTTTTATCTTTTATGCTCCCCGAAATGCTTCCTTCCTTCTCTCCTCCTCCCCGTCTTATTGGTGCGGCTGGGGGCTTCTCATGGGTTCTGGCAGGTCTTCCCAAAATGCCGTCCGTCATGGCCATTGTATCCAGTGTGCCCCCAAAATCTATTTCAGGCAACTGCATGTCATCCGACAGCTTGTACCTCTCCCGTGTTGTAGCTGGCTTGAGGTTGTAGTACGAAAGATCGATTTTAGGCTCGGGTTTAGTAGGATATATCGGCCTCTCTTCAGGAGAAGTGACAGGTTTCGAAATTGGAAAATCGGCTATCATGCTCTTGACCGGTTTTGGCGGTTCCGGTAAAGCCTTTTCCTGTTTTATCGGTGGTTGAACGGGTTTCTCCGGCTTTGCCGCCAGTACGGGCTCAGTCGGCTTATGCATCGGTTTAGCGGCTGGCTCTGGCCTCAAAACCTCCGGTTCCGGGAGTTTCGTAACCGGCCGAGGTGTACCACGCCCCGTGTGCGAAGTTCCTTCCAACTTTTCCCCCACCTTTGTCGCCTGGGTGGGCTCAGGTCGGGGCGATGGAGTGGATCGAGGTGGTTCACCAGGTCTGGGGGCACTCTCCCGTTGAGGCCCAGGACCGGGTAAGGGAGATCCGGCACGCATTTCCTGTTTTTTCTCGACCTGGGGTCGACCTAAGCTCGGAGTCGGCCGTTTCTTAGCTTCAGGTAACTTGGCCTCCGGTTTCTCAATCTGAGCCCGGCTAACCTCTGGCTGCTCGGTCTTAGTCTGTTTGGCTTCTAGATCCTTAACTTCGGGCTGCATAACCTTTGATTGAGAAACCTCCGGTTCACTAACCCTCAAAGTTCCCGAAATGTCAACCATACCTACCGTTGGCGCGGAGATTGGCGGAGATTCCTTACGCCTCGGTGACTTAGGCGGCGGTGTTAGTGGCACCTCTTGTTGCCCAATAGCCCCCAATGTTGAGAGAGGGGTGGCCCCGCGTTCGGGCGGTGAGGGCTGACGAGGCGGTGAGGGCCCTCGCGGGGGTGATACTTGAAGCAGTGGCGATGGCTCACGTGGAGGTGGCACCTGGTGGGGAAGCTGTGCCTGCTGGTGCGTTTGTCTCCCATCTGTTGATCCAACTGGTGCCTCAGACTCCCCGTCGGACCTTTTTCTTGGCTTTGGTGAATCTAGTTTGGGAGACCTCCGCTGCGGAACAAACTGACCGCTTGGCTGAGGTGTTGGCCCGCGCTGATTCCGTTGTAAAGGGTCAGGTAGCCGTTGGTTTGACCTCCTTTGTGGGGTTACGCCAGATGGTTCAATGGGTGTGTGGGAAGATATCCTCTGCCGAGGGTATTCTCCGATGTTTGTAAGTTCAGCCCTCTGGTCTAGGATCGGATGCCTCTTGCCCCTTGTTGGCGGAGGCCAGCATGGCTCTCCATCATACTCCCTGAACTTCATCAGCCTTCCTTGAGGATCGCAAGTTTCAGACTCAGAATTGCCAGTGCTAGGACGAGACATCGGAGCAGAATCCCCCGAGTAGCCAGGTGGTCCAAAATGTGACAAATTTGACAACTCCTCCGTACTTGTCGCTTGGGCGGGAGCAGACGAATCCACGGGTAGTTTGGTGCCTCCTAGATCGGGTACCCTTGGCTGTACCTCGATCTTCAATTGCGAAGGTGCATTTGGATCACCCGGGCCGCCATTTCCCTCACGCTCCCCAAGAACCCGGAGTAGGTCCATCAAACGATTATCCTGGAAGCGGAGTTCATCCCTACACCCCGTACAAATGCGGATAGCGCACCACCCACAAACAAAACGATAGTCTGCGGGATCGTCACTTTTGTCAATAGTCCCCCCGGCGCCACCATGTCCCATAGTTCTGCACGTCATACAAGGAACACTGTGGTGGATGTTGTGAACTTTGTGCATTACCTTGTGCTGAGCCATGCAATCCAGATGGGCAAGGTGAAATGGAGGGTACTGAACACAAGACAGTTCAGGGCCAGCCATTGCCTCTTCAGGTACGGTATTATACGATATCTGAGCAAAGTACAAGCCCTCGTGGAAAAACGGAGCGGATCTCAAGGGACGGGGCATTGTGCGTTGCTGCAGAGGATAGGGATAGGTTGGGTGCTGTGGACGTTTAACAAAGATCTGTGAATTCGGAGGGCCATAACTTTGGGAATAGCATGGCCCAGGCAAGGCCCGAGCTTGCTCGAGGTTTGGGGCCTGGCTTGGAGTGATAGATTCTTCAGAAGAGGGTTTAGTGCCAGGATCTTTTGGCTCCAACGGGGGCGGAGACTCTGTGGATTCCAGCGATTCGGTTGTGGGAGAAGCTGAACTGTTGCCCGTTTTCGCGGATGATGACGACGAATACGACTGAGGGAAACCACCCCCAGATCTGATGGGCCCTGGCCTCTGCGGAGGCTGGTAGTTAGCACTCTGCTGGGGAGGAGGTTGCTGTTGTCGTGAGTGGTGAAGCCGACGAGGAGCAGGAGGATATTGTATCTGTGAATTTTCTACCGGAAGATTCCGTCTGGAGTACGTTGTCGGAGTCATTGTAGCAGACGAAGAGGCGGTAGAAGCGGGCGAGTATGGGCGCAGGTTAGATGGCGGATAAGCGCCACTAGCAGTAGAAGCTCTAAAAGCACGTCCAGCAGCGGCCGTTGGTACTACCGGTGGTAATCCTCGCAACTGTGCATTCGCGGGTTGTCCAGGGCCTGGGGGTCGCGGAGGCAGAGAAGGAAATCTTTCGCAAGGGAAACCTGCGACTTGTTGAGGCGGATGGGGAGGAGTATTAAAGTCAATCGCTGTTCCCGTCAATTGGCCTGTGCTCAGACCAACAGCAGCAGTCTTGCCCTCTGCGCTCGCTTCTCGGCCAGCACTACCAGGGTCAGCCGCAACCCTTCCAGAGTCTGACCCACTTCCCTGCGGCTGGTCAACCCGATCGCACTCATCCTTGTCGTCGCCATCTTCAGGATGTTTCACCCCGGCAGTCTTACCAACGCCATCCTCTTCAGAGTGCTTCAACTTAGTATCACCATAAACACCCGCAGATTTGATCGCCGCGCTGTTATTACCTTGGTAACCTGCCGAATGTTTGACAAGCAATCCTCCACTCGCAGGACCTCTATTATCGTTTCCTGATTTCCCGCAATCCGCACTCCTCATTCCACTTGCATTCCCACTCCCAGCCTTCAGCCCTCTAAGCGTTAGCGTTTCCATTAAGCCAAGACGCCCCCTCAAGCTCATAGACCCCCTAGCCCTAGTTTCAGCACTACCGATGGTGCCCGAACTATCGATACTGCTCCCAACATCGTCGTTCGCATCGTCGGCTGCTAGTCCCGCCTTCTTGGGGCGAGACGTGCCACGAGAACGAAAAGAAAGCATCCACTTAACCGACCAGTCACCTCGAGCTCACCAAGTTGGTTTATGGCAAGAGGAGGAAAATGGAAATAAATTGGGCGGAGAATCGTCAATCCAAGCTACCTAGTCAGAAGTCGGGCCAAACAGCAGAAAAGCCAGACGATTTATCGAGACAAATTCGTCGTCAGCTGTGTTGTGCTTAAGCCGTTGAAATGGACGGGCTTCGTCTATCACGCACTACCCACGAACGCCGAAAGAACTAAGGGGCACAGAACCGTCAAACGCTCCCGGCACAGGAAAACCACGCTGCAGCCGCAACCCACCGAGACCCGACACCGTTAGGCTCTCAATGCGGATGGGCAAGGCCAAAAACCGCCCTTTTGCGGTCTTTTCGTAGCAGGGAGGTATCGTGACTTTCCTCCTTGATGGGAAAAAGCAAAAAAGGAGCGGGCCGCAAGTAGACTATGAAAACAAGAAGGTTTGTTCCTTCGGGGGGGGGTGGTCAGAGAAAAAAACGAGTGTAGTCTTGCAGCAAGCCCGGAACCGAGCCACTCCCGTCAATCGCCCTGGATCACAATAAAATGGTGGGGTCGGAGGAACGAGAGGGCGAGCGGGCGGGAGTGTATTTCCTATAAATCCGCTTTTTTTGCTCTTCTCAACACGAGTTCTTTTCGATGTGTAATTCTTTTCTCAGAGAGGAGCAAACAAACATTGGAACAACGAATAACGGTTCAAACCAGGGATTATCTCCCCGCCTTGCCTTTCCACACCCGCTCTCACAGCTACCGAACTCCGGAGGGAGAGGAGGAAGGGGATGGGATAGGGTAAGACAAGAATATTAATAGGGGAGGGGGATGGTGAGAGGCTGTGAGGATGAGGGTGACGAAAGAGGGAGTGGGAGGCTGGTGGAGGGAGAGAACACAACTCTTCAGAGAGATGGATAGACAGGACTACAGCAACGTCGGCCACAAACCAGTCGCCAATATACAGTATATTCATCGAACCAAATACAATAGACGTACGGACGCTCGCCAATTCGTAAGGCATCCGGAAGTGGATGGACCGAAATCCTTGGATCCAAACGTAAAACGCCAACTTCTCGGCATTCTCGTGTCCGCGCGCTCTATGGATTAACGAGAGCTCTATTGCACCGATATCCACCTTTTGCTAGGGTAGCCGGACCACCGCACAAGATTCGGTCGATGATGGTGGATGGTTCTGTAGGTATCGATTCCGGCACGATACCGTGTGAGTGCGTATGAGTGAGTGTGTGTGTACTCAGCTATACTACACGCAGAGGCAGGGTACGGCGGTGGACATCGTGAGACAGAAGCGAGTGACGTGGAACAATGGACAACCCCCCCGCGAGTGAGATACACGGCGTGATGATTAGCACCTTGCATCAATCAATCCCCTTCCGTCCCTCCCCTTCCCTTTTCCCGACAAGAGAAGATCAACCCTTCTTTTCACTCTCGGGGTATCTGGTTGGTTGGATGGATGAGTTGCGGGGGATCCCGCAGAAACACCACCAGACCATACTCGAGTACATCCCCGTAAGGCGAGGGTGCTCTGGTGGGGGAATTTGAGGTGGGAATGGGGAAAAAGTAAGTTTCAATGGATAGAGATTCCTTCCCATCACCTCTGTTGTGGTCGCCCTATCAACCTACCCCTCCCTCTACGAGTAGCTAAAAATAAAGGAGAGAGCGGATTGCTCGTATTGGGTGCCTGTCCGGGGCAAATGCGAGAACACGGATCAGCGAAGTGAATGGCAAAAGATGTGTGCGTACCAGTACTTGTATCTAAGGGCCAATGCAAAATATACCCCGCCCGTCCGTTCTCAGGTACGGCACTGCCCTCCGTCCCCGGGGCGGCGAGTTATGAGACGCGGCATGCCGAGATGTCGAGGTTGGCCTTGTCCCCGGTTGTTAGGGCGGTACGGGTACGATACTGATGCGGTACTAAAAGCGAAACGTCATCGCACCACCATCCTTGTTTTCTTGGCCCCCCGACCAGACCCGCATTAGTCTAAGGATGCGAGGAACACCCCCAGATAAACCACAGTACTCGAGTACTCGAGTATAAATTTATAGGTTCCGGCCATTGCGGAGATTGCCAAACTGCCGTGCCGGCACTCGAGCACCCGTACCGCACATTACTGTACTCGTACGAGTACTACCGTAGTACCTTCTCCTCGTGCCGCCTTAATCATCAATCGACCCCACCCGCACTCAGCACCCCTCATCTTCGCCCTAGCCTAGCCATTCGTTCCCCGAGCCGTCTTCGGTTGAACAACGCACGTGTCTTGGTGACGCCTTCGCGTCAAGGGCGATCCACCTGGGCGGTTCGTTCCAAATTTAACTGTACAGTACCGTAAATTACTGTACTTGCGGTCATAGCATACCCTACTTTACTGCCTGGGACCGCCATCGTGAGTGTGGATCCAAGCATGAGGAGAGTGCGGGCGAGCATTGTACTTGTACTCGAGCGGAAGTAAATAGGGGGGGAAACAAATACCGTAACGTGCTGTGCAATCACCCGTAAAACCGCTTTGGCCGTCGAGTCCCTCTACTCGTACCGCATCAGGCACCGCTCACGCCAACAGTAACAGCACCCCTAATATTCCTGGCAGTCACCCTCACAAACCCGTGAGCCGTACGCGATCCTCAGCCACAGCAACCCCGCCACCGCCCGGAGCCGGAACTCCCATACCCAACAAGCACAGGCACAAACACAGCGTCTACAGTCCTGTGCCAGTACATCTAACCACTCGACTACCGATACCGTACGAAAAGAAACAAAAGGAAATAAATGATCCAGGACACTGCAGGCAAGCGGTATCTCAGTCAACCCGTTCTGCCTCATTCGCCGGCCCTCGAATCCCACTGGTTTAGTTTCTCTACCCTATGCACGCACCATGCGGCACCCGTCCTGAGTGCCTGCCGTGTAACCGACCAACGCGGCCTGGTCGAGAGAGATAACGGGGGGCGCCCAATAGGGGCGATATATACGTGCCGTATGCGGTTACCATACGAGTTCTCGTAGCGAGAGGTAATCGAATGCCTCCGAGCAAGGTGGTGGTGGCGGAAGGGTGGGAGGGAAGGTTTTCCGTCACATCTTTGTTATTGCGCTGGTTCAGATCATAGTTTACGGGGTGCGGTGCTGTACCGTAGGAGAAGCGGAGGTTATGATGCAACCCGGGCCAACGAGCCAGCATCAAACTCCGCAGCCCTCTCAGCCACTTTATGCGATTCAAACCAACCAACAAACAAAGGGATCCGCCATTCATCCTGATGCTACGCCAGCACAACACATTATAGCGCAGATAGCTTTTCCAAGAACCGTGTTGTTCGTATGATAGTCCAAGTAGATCCAGCCCCAGATCCACACCCTCCCCCCCTACTTTGACCCGCGCACGGGAGGTCCCCTCTCCGGGAATGATTCCACGCGAAGAAAGGCAATCGCGGCATTTCCCCACATTCCGAAATCGGAGACCTTAGAGACCTATAGGGATCGGGGCTCAAAGCTGCTTCCTATGCCTGAAGCCATGCCAGACTTCAGAGTCCAGGTAGGATGCCGCAAACGCACATAAAGATAGCACCCTATGGTCCCTTCCTCACCGTAAGGTACCTTCCCGGGCCGCCCATGTCTATAGGAAGCGACACAGCAATATCAGTGCCGGTCGGAGTCTGGTACTCTCATTTTGGACTACGGCCCCCGCGTACCGGGACCTTGAACAAGCATGACCGGTACACTACCGGTAGCGCACCTCCTCCGACTGATACACGGTGCGCTTTGGGCTACACAAACACACGGGCAGTGGTATGTACCCTACACTGCCTACAGCACTGCAATCACACAAACATACCGGCGCCGCTCCATCGCTCCACTCTGAAGTCTACCGCTAGGAAAATACAAGTCCCGCGGCATACGCGAGCGGTCACCATTTCCGGGTACACTGCCGGCGCTCAAGTACGGTAGCACAGCAGCGCGCCCACCAAAAGCCCTGGCCCACTGGACCGATACCGTACTGTAAAGCTGCATGAAGAGCGTGCACTGGCGCACAAACACACCTTGACAACGACCTTTGGCTTTTATTGGTATCTACCCTCGATTTATCGCCTTTCTCGGATTCTGTCCCGGGTTTTTCTCTTGCCACGGGATACTTCCCTAATGCGGTAGTCGTACCCTAGACAAGTGCTTGTCATATATACCCGCGCTGAGTACTCGTACAGTACCTGTTCCGGGCCAGGGGTACTTGTACAAGTACCCGAAGATAGGGATCACAGGAATAATATTACGGTAGAAAATCTATGCGTAATTGAGCGTCAATACAACGTATCCCCCTGTTTCGGACTGCTCGTACTGTATAGTGCAAGTGCTTCTAGCCTGCATCAAACCATGGTAAATTTACCAGGTATCATACAATACGGCATTAACAAGTCGCAGCCTCCCCCCACGCATTTCTCAGCCGCGCGCCACCGCCACCATCCAATCCGATCCAATCGAACTCAAACGCTCGCCTATCTTCCAACACCAATCCCCCCCATCTCCGATTTTCCGATTTCACAGGCAAGTGATTCTACAAAAGGGGAATTCTCCAGCACAGTGCTGGCATTTGCGCTCGGATGGGGTTGTGCGCCATCGACATAACTTACCGAAAGAACGGGGGTTTACTCGAGTATCACACATGACTTAATTCCAGCCCAAGCATCGCACCCGAGTCGTGTCGGCACCCCACCACTCGAGGACTGGAGTGCTCTACGAGCACGGCAGCCCATTTCAAAATTATCGCCAAGTCCTGCATGCCAAGCTTCAGAAAAAATGCAGGCAGAGTTGCGAGTCTTTGCACTACGGTTTCAAGATACCGTACCTTTGAAATGGGCTAGCGCGAGTTTGCACGAGTGCATGCAGTGCATGCAAGATGCACCCAAACAGAAAATGGTGCCGGTCAACCCAAACCTACTCCCCACTCAGAATTCTTGGGAAAATTCGGCCATACCGAATCGCCGGCGCCCGGGAAGAGGGGGAAAAAAAACTCCCCCCAAAAAATTAGCCCGGCAATCTTGCAAAGAACCCCTTTGAAAACCTGATCTCACTTTTATTAATGGTTCAAAGTCAACAACTGGAACCATGTCGCTGCGAACCATTCGATAAACACGCGCACCGGCTTCAATTCTTCTCCAACAGGAGTACACCAGCCTCGCATCACCTGAAGGAAGGCGAAAACAAAACAGAAATTATACATAGCCCACTTCCAATCAACCATTCGAGCAATCTCACCGGAGGAAATCCCCATAAACCCCTCCCAAGGAGATGCTATTCCAAATTTAAATTTTTGGATCACAGTTTGCCACACAGGCAGATCTTGGTCATCCGAAACCATACCAGTAGAAATACTTTAGACGAAGCCACCGTAGACAGCTGCGAACATCAGTCCCTTGACTGGTGTATCCTCCGGGCTCAACCCTGCGGGTGCCCCCTAGGTCTAATTGGCAATGGCCAAGTGTGTAACGGGAGGTTTCAATAGCACTCGAATCCTTACGGCCGGCCCTTGGCCATGATCGATTCCGGCAGAGATGCCTCCCACGGGCGAAGTGGGTGAGAATAGGGGTGAAAGTGCGCGCAGTGATTGGGGAGTATTCGGAAGAGAAAAAAAAAGTGGACCGCTTCATCCGGTGTTTGATCTCATCCACTCCTTTTGAGGTTTTGGATAGTTTCTGCTTTCATGGTCAGTCACTCGCTTCGATTGTGCGAGTACGGTTATAGTTAATGCACTGCGGACTCTTAAAGTAGCAGACGAGGACTGGAGTCCGGGAATGGAATGCCGGTGCAGTGCCGGTAAGTAACGACAACGCCAGTGTGACGTTGTGCAGAACCGGATGCGGTACCGGTACTACCGTTTTGACAACAGCAACGGAATCGGTATGGAATATACCGGTACCGGTATTCCCCTTTATGATCGTCTCTAGCTGTGGTGGCGCCCATAATAGCTATCTGTTACCGGGATTTTCGGGCATGGCAGGTGAGGTTTGGAAAGGCGACCTGAAATTTGCTTGGGCGGATAATTATGAGCACTGTCGGGACTACCGAGACTAGCCCGATGGACCTCCTAGAAGAGAGAACAGAGGCTCATTCATTATAATAATAATATTATGATACAGCATTTGCAAATTTGAGGCGAGCCCTAGCCCTGATCACCGGTCAGCACTCGCTTCTCTAGCAAGAAGCAATTTTTTTTACATTTCCACTGTGGGCTAAAATCTATTACAGCGACCGGCCGTGGGCTCGTCAGTGGCTGTTTAATTAGCCGCCTCTCAAAAAGGAATGTTACCGCAAGATTCATTTTACGCGGTTCATTCCGACCGGTTGATCACACCCAAAAAGCCCCCCCCCCACCGACCTACGAGCCCTCCAGATTGCGGTTCTAGAAATCCGCTTCATTCTAGCCATCTCTTTAAAAATCAGAATGATAGATACCCCTTGGTTTTCGTTAAAGGTCGGGCAGTGTATCTAGGAGACATGACACCGCAGTTCCAAATGACCCAAGATGAGAGGGGGGGGATCATCGTCAAAGAATGTGGTCCTCCGCTGGGAGGGAGGGCTCATTAGTCTAGATTTCCAAGCTGCTGCTTGCAACCCCCACCTAGAGGAAAGCTAGATAAGAGCGGTTTTGCTAGAAATTCCTCCGAGGATGGTGGTGGTGGGGGAGGGGGTGGATGAACGATACCAAAGATGCCTTGGCGATCCCTTAGCAAGTGGGATGAGCGGTTCGGGATTGATATGGGAAGTTTGTAAGGGAGGCAAAGCATCACAGACTCGGGACTCTCTCTAACGAAACTGGTGGTGACAGAGGTTAGCAGTCGGCACGGATTGCTATCCTCATGCTCGTTGGGATGGCATAAACTACGGATGGTCAATGTGCGAGCCTCGCCATTCATTTATTTCTGCTTAAACAGGTAGTGTAGTGGGGGTACCGTGCCCAGGAAACACATTAAGTCATTCCAGCCACTAGCACCACTTCCTACAATGCAAGTATGGTAAAACCCAGCAAATTTTATTCCACAATAATATAGCCATCATGGCCAATCCGAGGAGAACATGAGAAACCTTATACTCCCACACTTCCGACGTCACCGAGCCCCAACCCCGTATGATCCCACATCTTCTGGTGGTACCACTTGCGAATCAATTTATAGATCCCACCGGTGTCCCCGGTGACTATCACTAGGGTGGGCTTAGATAGCCTGGGCCTGAGTAGCTAGAGACAGTGGGAGAGGGGCATCTTGATTCTCTACTATAGGGCAAGAGCGGGTTTATATTCACGATAAAGGAAAAAAAGAAGAGAAAAAGAAAAAAAGAAAAAAGAAAACAAGCTAAAACATCTAGGATCAGCGGTATGTGAAAAGACGGTGGGAAGGAAGAAAAACTTAGGATGAAAGACAGGATGAGGCCTGGTGAGGAGGAGAGAAGAACGGAGAAGGGGTGAGACGAGGCTAAATGGCAGTCTACCGGTGAAAGCAATGAATGGAGGGCTAACAGTAAGAGTAACCAGTCGCGAAAAGAACCTGGTCCATCTTCCGGATGAAATCCAGAAGATCGATCGAGTGAGCAGCCATGTTGACATTGTCACATTAACGTAGCTCGTTATCTCAACTTCTAGTATCCCACGCGATCACTGCATCACCGCGATAACAAGTTATCCTCGGGTCCCATCCCTTGATTCCCCGCATTGTAGCTGCCATCTCTAACAGTGTGAGAAAATATAAACGAATTGGGAAATCACAACTCTGTAGCCTCCCGCTATTCTAAGGTTGCCACAAGAGCAACTTTCCTTTCCAGAGCAATTGGGTACAAAGAGGGGTTGAGGGAACTGGAGAAATCTAGAGGCAAAAAGAGCAGAATTGATAAGTATGACAAGTGGGACTTCGGGGGACCCACTGAGACCCGCGAGAGCGCCTAACGGATAACCGAGGTTTTCGCAACGTTGGACACAAGTGCTAAGTGGAGGGGGAGGGGGGAAACCGGTAGGGGTATTTCACGAGTTTGGTGGTTCCCGGAAACTTCTTCTGTGTCCTTGGGTATTATAGTCACCTATGAGTGGTAGTTCTTTCGGGGTTCGAACTGCGGAAGGGGTGATGCGTGGATGCGTGGGTTGGTGATATTTGCCAGGTCATAGGATGTCACTCGTTGTTTGGAGTTTTAGGGGGGGTTGGTGGGAGCAAGTTGTAAATTTGGGAGATATTGCCGATTAGCGGGAAATGCAAGGGCAGTATTAGGGCGGAAGGGCCATTTTACACGTTTATATTTGGGGAGTGGGTTCATCATTGACGTCATACTCATTTCGCGATAGTGAGTGAAGCAGCATGCGAGTAGCCCACGAGGGCAGACTACTCCAAGACAACGGAACAACAAGCAGTAGAAAACCAATTCAGAGAACGTAAATTTGCGCGCAATCGGTAAAGAGACAGTCCAATCCCTGAATTTCCATGCCCCCAAGCTTTCCTTCAATCCATATACCCATCAACTGCCTTGACCCCTCACCTCTAGCCCAGGGTTGGCACCTTCCCCGTCCCGATCTGCTTCCCAGTAAGGTAATGGGTACCTACATCTGCGGTGAGATTGACCTGGCTCCCCTTCTCAAAAACTAGTATATAATCAGACCCTCCAAACTGGAAATACGAAACCTCCTGTCCCTTCAAAACCTGATCCCCCTCCTGAACCGACAACCTTACCGATGAAACCTGTGCCATCCCCACAGGGAGCATGGCAACCAGCCCGATCTCGGAATCAATAACGATGCACCCGCGCGCCTGCAGAAACTGGTAACCGGGCGTATCCGGAGCATCCAGACCTCCCACAAGCTCACTTTTCTGGCCGGCGTGGAAGCCGGGGACTGTCCCATCCCGGTACTCACGCCTGATAATATTCGCATCGATCTTGCCTTTGGTCATGCGCCGGCGCATAGAGAACATATTCCGGCTCGGTTTTCCGTCCACTTTGGTGGAGGTCGGGTCGGTGACGGGGATGACTTCCAGGTATGCGGATCCCTGTATCACCTTTGCCTCGAGAATGGTTCCGCCGACGGGTGCGTGCTGGCGGTGGTAGTCAGTTGTGTTGAGGAAAGCGTGCATGAAGGTGCCTCCTGCGAATCTTTCGGCGTACTCGCTGCCCTTTAGGAGGTCTTGGATTCTCCAGGGCACACCCTTCACGAAGAAGACGCAGCTCTCATCGTCTACCGGCCAGTGGCCGTCGAATACCGAGTCGGCGCCGCTGACGATGACTTCCGGGTTCTCGGGATCATCCGGAAGGCGCAAGCCAGCCTTCACGTGGCGGGCAAAGAACTCGTTGAAAGTCTTCCAGTCTCCGGGGGGACGCTCGTATTGATCCATGTTGTACGGGGGAGAGTGATAGAATGTATCAATGGTCTCGGCATTTATCGATTTTTCCGTGTCGTAGAAGGCCCCGAGGCAATTTGCGTATTTAACCATCCATTGCGAGAGGATTGTTAACTGCTTGTCGGCTTGGTTGGGCAGGACCACAGACTGGAGGATTGATGTAGTGCGCTGTTCCAGGATCCAGTAGAAGAGACAAATTTTGTTGTAGATTACGTCGCCGCGTTCGTTCTCTGCAGGCTTCCAGAAAAGGAACTCGTTGATGTCGTTGAGGTAATCGGTTAGATTGTCGATGTTATCAAGGTCTGGGATATTTGCCCTTTTGGCATCGGCGATGGCTTGGTTGAAGTTGAGGATCCAGTCGTGCTCGTACAGTAGGTCATAGAGCTCCTGGACAACTGGCTCCCATTGAGTAGACATTGCTGTCGAGGTTTTCGAGAAGTTGGTTTTTGAGAATTTGGGAATAGATGAATGTAGATGTAGTGATATTCTGTTATTCAGTCGATAGTTGGTGAAGAAAAGGAGTTTGTGGCTATGGGAAAGATCGCCTTTTATATTCGTAGAGATCGCCCGTCCCTAGAAATCACTGATACCCGCCTTCTCGAGAAGTGGGGCACCAAACACTCTATGAAAATTCTTAGAGGTGCAGGGAAGGTTTCTGGAGGTATCGTGAGGATGTCCACCCTTTGCGATCACTTTCTCCGATCCGTGATGAACTAATTGCGCTTGATCGAGCCTTTCTCGGACGATCCTTTACACTGCTGCACCTGTCCAGATACCTTTCCGCCCCTTTCAAAATTTCCGGCTTCAGTTCCCCCACCATTACGATTCCCCCATATAAAACCACGAATATTATAGTAGATGATGTCCTACGAGCCATACAAACCGGTGCCTCTAGGCCCGCCTCCCCCACCTTCTAGTCTCGGAACAAGGTCAATCCTCCAGTTCTAAATTGTCTATCTTTGCATCTTCAGCTCAAGATGGTCGCTGGGAGCAATAAAAAAAGTAATCACAGGATATTTCGGAACATAAGCCCATTGGCAGTTGAGAGCGCAATTATCCGTTGCACATACTTTCAAGCAACAAGTGCGACGTAATCCTCGCGATCATCACCTCCGCACTGCCCAGAGTGTAGGTTTCTGTTAATATCCCGACCCGCGATGGCGCATCTCCGGGGAATATCACTGCTTGAAGCGCTGAAGAAAACCCCTCGTGGCGATACCCTTGTATCACGGGTAGGGTAGTGCGGTATATCGCCGCGCTCCAGTGAACACAGAGGCTAAGGTGGGGGATCTAACGCAAGGGGGTCGATCTCATGCGGTAGTCGGTGCTGTGAAACAGCGTTCATTGGCCAGGGATCGCTTCCACTAGCGAAGTACGCTTATCCTGGAGGTTTATTTCTCTCGCTAATTACTTGAGAGCTTTTCTTGCATTTTTTGGATTCGCCTAGCTCCGCATTTGGAATTTCTCACGTGGGAACTTTCGTCAGCGAGGCAAGAGCGATTCTCACACCTTTAGCCCAGCTGTCCGCCCATCGTGGGTGTTCCTCTTGCGTTCGGGGAGGGGAATAGAGCGCGAACCAACAAGATCCTCAACTGGAAGTCTTGGTGAATAAGGTGATTAATCTTAGATAAGTTGATATAGATATCATCCCAGTGAATTCTTAAAGGATGGCAATGGCCGTACGGTAGATGTCCTGTCTTAATGTCCCTGAGCCCCTTACCCCACTTACTTGAAGTCCGACAAAACTTCGCGACCCCGCGGGATCAGATGGCCCGCCTGCCGTGCAGATGGAGTTGTGTTCATTAATGCACGACGGGCCGGAAGCGGGGTCGCCCGCCTCCGATAGTGCCCACGGGGTCTACCTCGGCCTTGTTTCCACCATGAACTCAGCTGGCACAAGACTGATAGATGGTTGGCATCGGATCCGGGGGTGGCACTACCAGGGTGGGAAACGTATCCTTTTGCCGATGAGGATGTCTCCATAGATCACAGGAGCATAGTAGATGCGAGTAGGTTTGCCGTGTCCGTTTGCCAAAAGGGTTGGATTGCGTTGAAAGCGTGGGCGATGTGATGATGGGAGTGTGTTTCCAATGTGGACCTTTTTGGTGTGAACCATGCCGGCCATCCTTGTCCGGAACACTAACCTCCCCATGCTGCAAGCAACCAACAACCTTATTTTGAAAATTAATAAATCGCCACAACAAACCCTTGCGATTCCCTTCTTTGACTAGCCAAAAAAGACCTCGAATTATCTAGATATTGATAATTGCGTTCCACCGAGGAATAATATTAAATTATCACGAGGAGGAAAAATTCGCTTCAAGGAGTGCTTAGGCAACAAGTAAACACACTCGGAAGGCCTAGAGTTCGAGTCTACATCTCCTAGTTCCACCATCTTTTCCCTAGAAGAGTCGTAATAAATAAGAGATCGCAAGGCCAATATTTGTGTCACATATTATGTTGGGGCGGGAGGTGTGATTTAGCATGAGGGTAGTACTTCAAATGCTTTGCTAGAAAGTCCCCCCGCACCCTAAGTTACTTGTGCTGCACTATATTTTGGCGCCAAAACTCGAAACTGTTTTCTATTGTATAAATCTAGGTGAGCGTGGCTGTCGGTACAGTTACTAAATCTGGAAACTGTTCAATAACAACATCGGGAAAGAACTAACACGGGATTGGGGCGCATATGTACGGGCAGGCAGCAGTTACAAATAAGAGGGCCATGAAATTTGCCAGTGGGATAGAGAGGTGCACAGCGACGGTAGTCCATCGACCCGAGTTTCCGATCCAATTGCCCTTTAGACCAACCCCCTGTGGTATTGTGGGAAAGCAATCCTGCTCAAATTTGGAGGCATTATGACGCTGGGGTCCATCGAACTGTGTGTCGTTATTGGGCTCGTTTGGTATCTTTCTGTTGGGCATGATAAATTGATGTCAGACGTTAATTGTTTGCATTAACTATTGCGAGAGGCTTGTAGTCTAGATTAGAGTGTCATAAGAACCAGAAAAATTGAGCCTAGCTCAAGGAGGTTTAAGTTGCCCCTGCTGGTAATGTCTATGATAGCACATTTTTACTTTCCCCGCATTAAGCTGGGGCTGAGGGGGTTAGTTTTCGCAGTGCCCCCGCTCACTATTCCAAGAAGGGGAATTTTGGACGTCTTAGCGAGTGGTTCAATTATTGGGCGTCTCACTGTACTGCACTTGTGCTCCAGTATGCGAGTGGATCGGTAGATGTAGTAAGTTAAACCGTCTTTCTTGGGATGATGCCGATATGTGATGTCTGGGGCCGGAAATGGATATCTTTCTCCGAGCCCGATTGGCCGGGGTTAGGTAGGATGTACGATAGAACGGACACGATATCTGTCAAAAGAGTAAGATCATCAGACTGCAGATCTCGGAAGTAACAAAAGAGAATCCCGAAACCGGGCAAATTCAGTTCTGAAAACAAATTAAGTGAGGCCAATCTAGATATATAAACAGCATATTTGAAAAACCATCCAGGCAAAATAAACACTGCAGATTGCCCACCTTTCCAGAACGGCGGCAGAGTGCGGGAATCCGGAACTGCCCATACCTCTTTTCGTGCTCGGGAGCTGCCATGTTTGGGCATCTCTCAGACCTTGCTCCCGCCTCGTTTGCCCTCCGTGTCCCTTTGACAATCCTCATCCTCGTTCCTTCTCCCCTGAAGCAAATTCAATACCACAGCCTTTCATACCGGGATCCCTAGTGGCAACGCGTGAGGATTCCAACAACCTACCGAGGAATCAGACCTAGGAAATGAGTTCTGGGTTTTACAGGCGATGCTTCAGGCGGAATGGAACGTAACTTTTTGTGCAATCCCCGCACCGGTACACCTGTGGTGCGGCATCGGGGAACCTTTCTTATTACCGGTAGAGCTGGGATCAGGAAAGTTGTATTAAATACGACCAAGTGGCTGCTTTGGCAGCTACACTAGTAAATTTAGTCCCGTAGGATAGGACAGCACCACATCTACTCGTCTCTATTCAATAAGCCTCTGGTACTATGCTCCATCATGCCATACTTCTGCATTCTGATTTACTCAAGCTCAGTACTGCTTCATCAAGCACCCAAGCACTGCTCCCGGCCAACCAACCAACGCCGGTAGAACTTCACCCTCCGGGCCGCGCCGCCTATGCTGCTCGCCGCAAAGGCGAGACGTAGTATAACATCACTTTGCGCAGGATATTAAATTACAAGGAAGCCAGCAGAAAAAAGGAAAAAAGGAAAAAAAAAGAGTAGCTAAGGAAAAATAACCAGAAGTTTAAACTACAACACTTCTAAATCCCGATGCCCGCATGAAAGCCCAAGATCTTCCCATTTTCTCTCTATTAATGTGCAGAGAATCAGGCACTCTATCATATATTGGAGCCAGAGTTCCCGTGGACTTGTGGCCGAAAATCTTTGGGCAGTCGAAAGTGGTCAGTATTTGGCACTATTTGCCCCCCCAACTTGTGATACTGCGGCTACAGACGTCATCCACAATATCCATATCTGCAAATCGCCCGAAAGTAACATAGCTTGCCGAGTTAAATTACGTGAAACACATATTACCCGGAGATTGCGGCATGTAAACACGTGGCCCGAGAGTCGTTGCACCGCAGTCTGGTCGGTAATCTATATTGTGCTAGTGATACCAAACCCGCCTCGATCCGACACCTAATTTGGCGGTCCTGCACATCTCACCCCATCACTCCCTAGAAGTATATTCCTAGATCCTAATACTCGAGTATCATAGTAAGCCAGTTTAAGCGGCGCACTGTACAGGGCAAGAACGCTCGCCCGAATGTTCTCTCAGCTAACCACTCTTCAACACACAGCACGGATCCTTATGTGCCGTTGTAGTAGTTGACTTCACGCTAAATAATAACCTTTTCCCACTAAGGAATTCCCAAGATCCCAACGCCACTGGAACCGCCACCTATGCCCCAAGAGCCGGTGGGGGCCAGAAGGATCCCTCATGAAATAAGGAGCGGCAAAATATATCCCATCCCATCAAACCCCCCAAGGGGGCTTTTCTAGCGCAGCATGTTTACCTTAAACCCCCAAAACTACTCCATGGCCGCTCTTCCTATTCGCTCCAAAATTCTTGTTTCGCTGCCAGTGACTATTACAATAGTCATGCGGACAACCGCACTGGACCAATTGCCCCTCGCGGGAAGGGAAGAAAATAGACAAGGGGAAGTTTCCGAGGCCTTCAATATAGAGCCCCACTCGACTCTTTGGAAAAGGACTCTTGTCCCCTCTTTTGGAATAGTTGCAGCGGACCCATAAAAAAGTCCAGTGTTGGCGCTGCTTTCCCAATGAGTACTCGAGTACGTGCCCGTACATTTGCTACGAAAATTTTCAACCATGGGATCAAATGACTCTATTAAGTGTTAAGCCTCTTGTGACCTTCATGGGCTTGAACTTGCAACAAATTTGCATGAAATATCATAAAAATCGGTCTATTAGTTCTTAAGTCATAAGTTCCCATTCCATGTATCCTATGTGTGCACTCCCACTAGGTAACTCACCGGTGTCTTTCCCCACTACGTATCACAATCGTTCAAGCAGCCCGACCGCTAGACTTTTTCTGGATCCGCCAGGGGCTGTTCCAAAAGAGGCACCTATTGTTGATTCTATCTATTTGTGACTGACGGCAGTGATTTTTACACCAATTATTCGTTATTATTTAGGGGGTAAAGTCTCTCTTGTTCTGGTTTTTTTTGGCCGTACTGTACTGTATGATACCTTTTGGTGTATCCCATGGTTTTTCTAGCTTTTGCAAGTACTCGTACTTCAACCGTAACAACTCTCCGCCCGCCATGGAATCTCCGGATTCCGAGTCAAAGGCTCCAGAGAAATATTAGTGCTTTCCCCAAGCAGTAAACCTGAGCGTCCAGGGTTTATTAAAGTACGGGTACAAAAAGAACCGTCCGGCAACGCAACGGCAACCCCACTACCACTATAAATTTACTACCCCTACAACCACAACTACTTGAAATAAACTGAAAATATGTGTAGACATACAATAAATATAAGAAAAGCTATATGTAAAATTAGAAAACAAAAAAATCAATACTTGGTATACCATCCCCTTGCATCTATGACAGCAGCAACTCTACTAGGCATAGACTCCCACAACCTTTCCAGAAAATCCCCTTCAATATCCTGAGTCCAAACCTGATTTAGAGCTACTGCTAGATGTTTTCTAACAGTTTCTGGGCCCCCCTTGGTCTTGTGGATGTTGGGAAAGCGCTGGTGTAGCTTTTCCTTCATCCTCTTCCAACAGTGCTCAATAGGATTGAGGTCAGGAGAATTGGCTGGCCATTCCATAACCTGTATGTTGTTTTCCTCAAACTAAGCCATGGTATCTCTTGCAGTATATATCCTTGCACCATCCTGCTGAAAGATAGGATCCCCAACTGTATCCTCCACCTCCTGCCAGACATCAACTAAACCATCCTCCAAAACTCCAATATATACAAATCTATCCACACTCTTGTCAAAAATAGGAATCAGAGGACCCTTATTTCTGCCCCAAATACAAGCCCACACCATCAGCTTTACCCCTGGCCCCTTGGTAACTCCATGAATACAGTCTTTGTGCCACTTTTCTTCAGGTGTTCTGAACACCCATATACCCTTAGGATCCTTAGACTTTTCAACCAAGGATTCATCACTAAAGATGACTCCTTCAAAGTCTTCCTTTATCCAATCCTTATACTTCATTGCCCAAGCTAACCTCTTAACAGCATGCTCATCCTTTAGAAGAGCTCTTTTCCTAGCTCTCCATTTCTTTATGTTGACTGAGGCTAAAGCTCTCTTGACTGTTTGGAGGGAGGAATGTGGTGCAACATCATTGCGCAATTCTGATAAAGTCTGGTGGTGTGCCTTCTTAGACTCTCTGACTAGGCGGCGTTGGGTTCTGGAATCGATAATTTTGGGTCTTCCAAGTATAAGGAGGTTTTTTGCATCACCCCTCTTTTGGAAGCGGTCATGGAAAGTTTGAACAGTACTCTTTGGACGGTTTAAGAGCTCTCCAATCTCTCCAAAAGAGATTTTTTTTTTCTCAGAGCAACTATTTGCCCTTTCTCAAACTCTGTAAGGTAGCCTGTCTTGTGTGGAGGCATCGTGGTTGAGGGGTGGTTGATTGTAGGAGTGGGGTGTTTTGAGGTATCGCACGGTAACCACCGATCGTACGGATCCTTTTGGCCTAGTACTTTATATCTCGTGAACCGGTATTCGCAATTCGGTTAACCTATCAAACTAAACCTATCGTGAGTGAAACAAAGATCAAGCCACGCTAAGGAGATAGAGTATTCCCAGAGTTTTTACAGTACGAGTATTGTATTGTTTGAGGGAAGAAGGGGGGAAAAAAAAGCACCACATCTGAACATCACAGCGCTCCGCAATCTGAATACTCCAGTACTGTACAGCATGCCACAGAAATGCGCCTCAACTGCCTTGAACCCTCTTTCGTGTTCACAACCTGTTAGCCCAAGTCATTGACTACGTGCAATATTTAACCCGGCAAAAGCCCTATAAAAAAAAGAGAACACCGCGCCTCTAAGGCCTCCTCGAGCCGGACTGATAGTCTAAGCGCTAGTATAATACGGTAAGATAGTTGAAAATGCCCACAATGCCCAGAGCCTCACCAAACACATCCCTTCCCTCAGCAGCCTCTCGCACAAAACCTGCAGCCTCCATCCAGCGAGTTATTATGAGGGCAAATTGCCGGTAGAAACCATTACGCACATCCCTCGCTGCATACTAGCACTAGAAATCTCCGGAATCATCCACCCCCGGGGGGAATTGCCGGGCAGATACTCGCCGATCACAAAAACAAAAGCATCAACCGTATCCAGGAGTTGTATTGCCAAGTCTCGCGAATTTGCGTTGTGGTTTTCGGAGTCTTGGCGCGCAGAACACCGCACTAGCCCCCCCCGCACACCTCCGGAGACGGGTGTACCGGTGGTGGTATTTTATTTATTTTAAAGGCTTTTAGGGGGATTACCGGTAGCTATTATAGTTAACTTACACCGGTATGCCGGTTCAGCGGTACTGGGATAATAAACTGGGTTGAATCTGGAGTATGGTATGGTGCAAGTATCTTACTCTGGGGGTGCGGCAAGCCGGGAGATAGCTAGGTGTAGCACTGTAGCCGATTTATGATGTACGGGTAGCGGACAGAGATATGTGGACAGGCTAGCGTCAAACAAAAGTACCGTACCGATAGATCCTGAGCAGTGCTAGCAGGGTACTTTTTGTACGGGGGGAAAATAGTCTGACGACAGAAAAACGCTTAGCACCAACACTACACTGTTATTTATATCAAAAAAATGGAGAAAATAATGGCAAGAAATTTATGCGAGCACTGAGGAGTCGCATTATCCAAGGGCTTTGGCCGGACCCGGCAAGCTTGGGTAGCCTCAGCACTTTGTACTGTACTACCGGGCCTCACTTGCCCGTACATACGGTATCTGTACCCGTGTGGACTGCTGGGGTGATATGGAGACTGGTATGATATCATAACAAATAAAGATAGGGCGAATCAGACGCCTGACCACCTCTATTCTGAAGAGCATTATGCTACTAACCCATATCCCTATACCAGATTATGTAAGTTGGGCTCCTGGAGCGCTGTAGTTTTTGCAAAGCTACGATCGGATGCTCGATGTCGGGTTAAAGTTCCTAGACTAAGAGCGCTAGGGACAGCGGATAGCTTACTATTCGGGTTCACACCCTCCTGCCTCGCCTTATCAAGTTAAGGACGGTGGACGGAACCATACTCTAGGTTCGTTTTCGCACGGCGGTAGAAGAGGGCGCCTATCGCGCAACTTTTTAAACACTTACTACCCGGTTTACACATATCTCAGACCAAATAATCAACACCCACTGACAGCGGAAACAAAAATTGACCACGGCACAGTAAACTGCCCAAAGTGCGACCCCCGCACAAGGCACAAATAACCCAACGCGTAACCTAAAGCATGTCAAGTATCCTTCACCGTGGTCCACGCACTTCTTTTTCTCGTCCCCGTTAGATCCCTCCCCACCCCCACCCTTGTCAACCCCTTCCCCGCCCTTCCCCTCACCTTGCTCCCTATCCCTCGCACCCTTACCCTACTTCTCTAGCGTAGCTGGTCCTCCCTTCGTACGACTACTGAGCGCCTCCTCAAGCTCCTTCATCACCGCTAGTATCAGGACCCTTGTGGTAAAATGTATTACACCACATTCCCAACTTATGCCAAGATCCAACGAAAGCGGATATCAAAGCTATGTTACCAAAACCCGTTTCGCGATAGATCCCCAAAAAACTCCCAGGTCCCCCTCCTATTCTTGTCCCCTCCCCTCTACCCCCTTCCTCGCCTACCCCACCGCCGATTCCTCCTTGTGCCCCTTCTTACTCACCTTCCTACGTCCTCCGCGTGTCCACTCCGTTCCGCTGCCAATCCCGGCCTAGCTATAGGTGCGGGCCGAATCCCGAACCGCACGAGATCGTCCCCCGTGATGCCACCGGGCCCTGCCATTCTTACATACTCCTCCCCCCTGGTATTCATGCATGCTTCCACAAACTTTGTGACCGTGTCGATCCACCGGAGAATTTCCACTGGGTCATCTGTGGCCCCCGCCTGTCTAAATTCAATATTTTGGTGACGCGAAAGGCCGCGAAAGTTATACTTGTGGGAATAATCTTGGATCGGGTTTATACAATAGACCAATTCACTTATAAAAGGTTGAGAATCCAGATGTGAGAGCGCCTCCAGCGTGGTCATGTGTTTGAAGGTATCGTTGTACCGGCATGTCCTGTAGCACGAGTGTCTGTCTTCCCTAGCCGGAACACGGGCTCGATCGTGAATTTTGTCGATTTCTTCTTCGAAGACGATAACGCCCTTGCAAATTCGGCGGATTTCGTGTGTTTCGAAGGACCTTTGGATGCCAACGTACAGCTGTAATGCAGTCGTAGCATTGAATGCCAACTTTCCACAACCTCGCAGTGCATCGACCCATTCCGGTATCACCCCTCTCCAGGTTTTACTGTGGGTGAATGGGGTACGGACTTTGACAGGTTGGCCAACTCCTTTCCCGGTTACCGCGCAGATGGTTTCATTCGCCCAGACTTTGTACTTCCCGCGGTATATGCCCTGCGCATGGTGGTATTTAGCACGGATCCTTGAATCATGCTCCCGACACGCCTCATTCACAACCCATATCGCCCAAGATGATGATCCAAAGTCCAACAGCACAAACTCAAATTTTACTGCAATGTTCACGCGGTCAGAGCGTCCAAAGCCCTCAAAACCAGGGGGAGTAGTAGGCCTTGAGGTATGTGCAACGGATATGGGGTAGGGATTTTTGGCTGGAAGAACTCTGTTCTCATCCCTTGACGCGAACTGCTCCCCAGAGACACGGTCGAGGAAACGACTGATACCCCTGAGCTCCCACGGATGAATCGATCTATGAACACCCTCGAGGAGCAGCGTTAGCAATTGCGAAGCATCCCGAACCAACACACTGAAGTCCCCACGACTCGAGCCACTGCCAGCAGCGCCCTTGACTGCAGACTCGGCTTCATCAGGCACTTTGTTTCTAGAAGAGGAGAATACCTGCCAATATAGATACCCTCATGGAATAGCGGTCCCCCAAGGATATCTGATGCGGGAGGGTAAATTGGGTTCCCGCGAGGGATAACGCCAGGTAAGTGATGCATATTGGTGAAATCTCCTGATCCTACATCCCGCATGCGCCCCTCTCGTGCGGGGGTAACCTGTATTGGGCCCCCATTTGGGGGTTGGTTCATTCTCACAAACTAATGTTGACAATTATGTCAGGGGGAGAGCGGATGGCCTTTTCGATTAAGTAATATAGGGATAAGAATATTTGTAGAGGGGCAGAGAAAGCTAATGGAGTGGTGAAATAGAGGTCAATGTTTAAGATCGTCTTGGGCCTCCAAGCTCATGGAATAATATACATACGCCAGCGGAGTACGTATCCCACAATGAAGCCAGCAATTAAGTTACGTAGCAAACGTAGCATCGATATCCCGAAAACAAAAAATCCAAGCAAATTATTACTACAATTTAACTACTCTTTCTTCCTTTCTCCTTTCTCTCTCACTCATCTCGATATGTCTGCCAAAACAGTTAGTCCCCCAGTGACCGTGGATGTAATATACAAATGGTAACATACCTCCAAGCAATAACCACCAACCCCGGTGCTCGCTCAGCATATGCTCCCGCTTTCGCACTACTGGCCTGGCGTCTAGCAGCCCTGGCCGCAATTCCTTGAGCAATCACCGAGTTCTACCAACATTATCAGCATAATACCCATTGACGTGAATTATCGGAAACATACTCTACAAAAGCCAAACGCATCCCCCCAATACATTTCGCTAGGTAGTATGTTCCATCCAGAGGCTTGGCCATACCAGTCGATAACCTGCTGGCGGGGCGGGAGCCCGGGAGTTGCACCAGGAAGGAAATCCCTTGTTTCAACAGACATCGCAGATGCACCAGTTTCCAAGGCGAGTTGATATGGTGATAGTAGGTTTGCTCGGAACTGTTAACAAGTGCGAACCCAATAGCTAAACAATTGTGACATACAAACATCGCTAAGAGGATGGCCAATGGTAGACAGCTCCCAATCCAAGATACCGATAACTCTTGGCTCGGTCCTATGGAACACCAGATTGTCAATCTTATAATCGCCATGAATCACGGTCGATCGATCCTTCGGTTGAGTGGTAGAGAAAAACTTCATCTATACCTCCAACCACAGTTAGCCCTAGTGTCCGCGATAAAGTGCGGGCACGATGGAAACAAAGCAGAAGAACCCACTGCCTCATCAAACCTCGGGATCTTCCCAACCTCGACCCCAGTCTCTACATCCTTCGTCAGAGCCTGCGCCGCCTCAATAGTGGACAGCGTCCGAACCTGCCTCCCATAAAAATCGCTCGGCTTCCCAAAGCCCTTCAAAGCGGCATACTCCTCCGGCCGAATCTTATGCAACCTAGCCAGAGTCACGATGGCCGACTTCCACATAACGGCCCTCTCCTCCGGTGTTACCCCCGGCAACGCAGCGTCCTCAAATATCCGCCCATCCAAGAACTCCATGATATAAAATGCGCTCCCGACGACGTCCGCATCCTCGCATAGACAGTACACCTTCGGCACGGGAAGGTCCCGCGCCACCTCGGAGAGAGCTTTGAGGACTCTGTATTCACGCTCTACTTGGTGTGCTGTCTTGCTAAGCAGTTTCCCGGGGGGTTTCTTGCGCAGGACGTATTTCGCTCCGGTGTTTGAGGACGTTAGGAGGTATGTTGGGTTCGACTGACCGTAGCCGAATTGCTGGATAATCAGCGGGAGGTTGATCTCCGCGACGTTGTTGCGAAGGTAGTCCGTTAGCGAGCCGACCGGGATTGGGTGACGGATTGGGCCGGCCATTTCTCTGGAATTTGCTATTATGATTTACGGTCGATTGTTGGCGCAAGAGTGGAGGGAGAGGAGGTGCAGAGGGGGTTGGGGTGAGCGAAAGTTGAGTTGATCGGAGTTATGGGGAGCCGAGGTACGGTAAACACGGGGAGTTTTCCACGAATCAGGAAGCGATCGTCGGTAGTGGGAAGATCAGGTATCGCCCGGTCCAGGGAGATGCTTAAATTAAGTAAAGCTTGTACTCGGGTACCAGCACTCGAGCACAGCACTTGTACTGTACTCGAGTACACCCAAACCCGTTATCCTGTATGAAATGCTGTGAGTTCAAAAATTTTCCCTATCAAAACTTGACTCGTTGTTCCGGATAACCCGTTGTACTCGCACAGTACCGGACAGATTCTTTAGATTTTGGCCGTCCGGGATAGCGGGGCGTCAGTGTAATTATGGGAAAATGAGCATCGAGTGATGCTTCGTGAGACGATCATCGTCAGCCTTTCTTATACCGTCGGTCAAGTGCCCCTATTGAGGCGTAGAGCACGGAGTTAGACTCTAGCGATAGCTACGGCGCGATATAACAGAGTTTGTATTAGGCACATGGATGGTTCTCCCCCGCCTGCCCTCCGCCTTCAGAGAGAGACCGTGCAGAATCATAGCTAAATAATAAAAACAGAAGAGATCAGCAGAAAACACTCAAAGCTTTCTTAACCGTCATCCAAATAACGATCCGTAGAGTATTGGAGAGAAAGCCAGCCCTCAATGATCGCCCGAGCAATCCCGCAGCGTCTTAATCCACGGCCTCGAAAACAGCACATCGTCAGCTCCAAATTACCTATGCTTAACCCCCACCGTGAGAGATCCAGAAAGAGACAACGCTCCACCCCACGTCATCCCAAATCTCAGCTCCCGCTTCCGATTTCCAAACCTATCGACAACATACTCTAGCGGCACACCTTCGTTCTTCGCGGGGGCATACTTCTTTCCGTGACGACCTTCATGATAGGCCTGCGAAGCCGTTTCTCCGAAAACCCACCGCTGAATTCGGGATTTCTTCTCCTGCTTTCTCCCCTTGCGGCTTGGTGGCAGCTCGGGTAGACTTGATGTTGTGACGTTGTAGTCTGGGGGTGGGCCGAAGGGGCCGGGGGCCGGTGGGAGGAGGGAGGAGTATTTTGGTCGGGGGGAGTGGGTGGCTTGGGGCCCTTGCGGGGATCTCACGATGGGGCTTGAGGGCAGAGGGGCGGTTGTGGTGAGCGAAGGAAATGCGACAGTGGTAGGGGAGGGAGTAGAGTCCAGTAGTGAGCTATATTGCTGCGGGCTCGCAGATGAGGATGCTGTGGAAGGGCCCAGTGGTGAGCTGCGCTGCTGTGAATGAGAGGAGCCCTGTCGGAGCGAAGGAGTCCTACGCCTCGAATTCGCGGTGGTGGTGACGGCGGCGGTAGAAGGCCCCTCCTGTATCACATCCTCATAAGAAGGTAATACTTCATCAGTCCCCGTGTCTTCCACCGAAAGTCGCCGTTCATTCGTCGGTCCCGAGCTCGGCATTTTTTCTGGAGCTCCTTGCGCTGTGGTCTGTTCGTCGTGCGGTGACGATGATGAGGAAGCGCAAAGACATTTTGGGCGTCTCGGCCAGAGTTGTTTTGCAATGGACGATGGCAAAAACTTTTACCTAATTCTCGACAATCCCAAGTTCCCGCTGACTTATCATATGATACAAGTATGATATCAGAGAGTCAAAGCGAGACGTTGCGGCAGCAACTCGGTGATGGAGACAGCTCAGTGGGTTGACCAAACACCTTCTGCCCCACACACCTCCAATCGCCTAGCCCCCCCGACGCTAGGCACTTTTTCCCGGCCGTTAGACTGTTGTACAGTAAATTTACTCGTATTGCATCATAAGTTACCGGTAGTCCAATATCTCGCTTGTAGCCGCACGGTTAGCTACAGTACTGTACCAACTACAAGTACACGGGGGGGAAGGAAGTAGTGCGACATAATTGCAACCGCCTTCTGCACAATCACACCTCCACTACCAACACCCCTCCTGCAATACTGATGGAGTCCCTCATGGCCTGTCAGAAAAATTCTGGAAGGCAATATGCAGGTAAAAGGAACTCAGAGCAGTGAGCATAAGTAGTCTAATTAAATAACTAAGTACATACTATTAAAATAATAATAAATAAAATAATTCAGTGATCAATCCATAAACTATTAAATGGTGACGACCCTTAACAAAGAAGAATCAACACTCTGAGTGAGAAACTATACAAGATGACTGAATCCATATTATCACTCTCCAAGAAATAGCAGAATTGTCTTTCAGAAAGATTGCTGCTGAATTGGAGGAAAAACTGAATCTCAAAGTCCCCCCACAGTATACTAAAGTGGGTCAGAGAGGTTATTAAAAGAAAAGGGTACCAAACTCATTACTGATTTATTATTTTCCTTTTATTTCACTTTCAGGGAATACTGAGGATTATTTTATTTTGTCTACTTTACTTATTTTATTTATTAAATGTTGTTGTGGAAAGGGAGCAGTACTATATGTTGCCAATGTTGTTCATGAATGTGAGTTTGTATTGTGCGAGTGTCGCATTACTTTTTTCCACCCCCTGTACAATTCTAAATAACCGGTAGGATGGTCTCAAAAAAAATACCCCCAAAAAAAGGACAATGCCGCAAGGTACTTAAAATTGTTCATCTGGAAATTTCTGAAGCGACTTGCGCGCAGTCACCTGTTGTGGCTATGGTGAGAAACTCTTCACAAGATTGTGTTGGTTTTTGGCTGATTTCACGCGCCCAGCATGCTCGGGTAAATCATTCCGAGTATTAAATTTTTCGCAGAGGTCAACTGACAGTACTTTCAAGTTCAAGATTTATTTTTTTGAGGCTCGCTGCGTTTGTGTTTCCTGGAGTATGCACGCAGTCCCTACGGCCCCAGACTGCCCACCCCGCGTAAGGACTTTGCCGCGAGCCTACCTTCGGGAGTGTAAGGAAAGATAGAAGAGTTTGGGGCATGCCGGTACCCAACGGAACGATAGGTTGGGCTTACATTCTATGCTGGAGTGGAAGTACTGTATATTTAGCAAGGGTCGGACAAAAATTAAGGCGGGAGAAGTACGATATTCTACAAAGCACCGGCCGGGGAGTTGATTTTTATTTCGGTCAAAATTGGAGGGCACCGCGACGAGCTCGTCTGCTAGCGAAGCTTCTGTTTCTGGCCAAGAACCTGTCGAGGATTATTTTTGGTGAATGCAGCATTAGATGCCAACGATTACCCTCTTTAATGTTGACTGAGGTAAGCGGCAAATGAGCGCCAGGGTCGTGCTACTCAGGTGTATGATACCACAGGTGCCGGTAGTCTTGTACTCGAGTACGAGTACCGCTGATACTGAAATTTTAATCAAGTTACGGACCGTCCCTTCGTTTTATCCCTGAATCCTTGTGGCTCTATGCCGGACTGGGACTCGAATCTATGGAATCGAAAGTATGTTCCCCTGATAGGGGGGTGGTGTGGGAGCACAGCGATGCAGGTGCGCTGCCTTTGTGGAAACGGGGATTTGGAATCACTGGTGTCTGTTTGGAGTAACAACCCTACAACTGACTCCTAGGCTGCCTTGGAAAGCTGCCCCCCAATAAAGCCAGGGCCTGTTCAGGGGCGTAACCATAGGGTATTAATACTGTACACTCTTAAAGCTGATCGGGGTAAACATCGCTCGGAATACAGTCATACAACAATAACTCTATTCATGGACTAGAAAACATCTTGAGTTGCCGGCTCCAGAGCTCACTCCTCGAAAGCGAAGCATTATGGGGGGGGTTATAAAAGAGAAAAAAATGAATAAAACAGAAAAAGGGCTATCAAATACCCGCAGCATCACAAACACGTTTCGCAAGCGGAATATGCTTACTATAAGCATCAGGGAAGGCAGATTTCTGCACGCTCTGCGCCGCCCTTCCGATCTCCATCCCCTCCCAACCACTGACTTTTTTCAATGCGGCGAAGAACTTTCCGGCGCTAGTTTTAGGATCCATACAATCCTTTACAGTACCCCAGAATTGCGGACGCTGCTGAAAGATCCCGACGGAATCGTGATCTTTGCCAACGCCGTCATGGGGGTAGTTGTTTGACTCGGGGACCGAAGGGTTGGACAGGACTCTAATCCTAGACTCTTGCATTGCCGTCACGATGGAGACTTGGCAGCCGCGATTGCCAACGCCTTGCTCGCGGGCCACTTCAATGATGGTGCGCGCATGGCCGGATTGTGTGCCGTCGAGACCGGGCAAATTACCACCCCCGGTCGGTGGGCTGGGGCCATCCCCGGTGCAGCATTGGATGTGCTGCGGGCCGGGACAGTGGTTCCCTGGGTCTGGTGTACCCTTGCAAGTCGAGGTCGGCTGACAGGTGCCATCTACACCGGCGCCATTTGTACAGGTACCGTATGTACAGCACTACTGAGTGTTAGCTACATCGTGATAATTATATCCTGCAATCAATCCGGTGGATTAACTTACCTGAATTGTATCGTCGCCGGGGCAGAGATTTGCTGGGTCCGAAACACCGCCTTGGCCACTGCAGCTGGAGGTTTTTATACACTCTCCAGCACGACCATTGGTAGCCGTACAGACCCCGAAACTCTGTGCAAGTGCGGAGGGAAGGACGGTGAGGAAGAAAAGATAGCTGAAGGATTTGAACTGCATTTTTCTAATATTCTGATAGCGGGAATGAGCGAGATGACACCCTGGTAAAGAGAGACTATGGCCAGATAGGAGGGTGAAATATGAAAGAAAGAATTTCAAGGAGAGACTTTGAGCCAGGTAAAGGAATGTGCCCTGATGATGGTGGATTCCGGGGGGAAGTAAAGTTCAATAAATACTCAACGGATCACCAGAAACCGACCTACGCAAGTACTCGTACAACGGCGGAGAAACAATGATTTTTTTTTTGATCCTGAATACGAGAACAACTGCGGATCTACACCGGCGTGACACGTGCGTGAGCATCACTAATACTGCGATGATTGGTTTCGCATCACGAACTCCCGGAAGCGGCGATAATTCCTACTGTAGTTTTTGGGGAGCATGCTAATGTGCGAAGTCTCCTATGTCGGCGGCTCCGTGTCGTATCCCCTTCATACCTAGGCTTATGGTGTAGTCCCGTACTTCGTACCTGCGTACTGGTAGTACAATACCATAATTCTACTGGCATTCTGGTTACATTGCCTCACCCCTTGCGGCTTGGCCTACCGGCACACATCAGAAAACAGGCTAGCGCGTATCAACCAACGAAACAAATAGCATGCTCGAGTACTGTACCGTTATCTTATACTGTTGAGCCGCCTAAGATACGGGTACAATCATACCAGGTGAGATATTTTCATACAAGACAGGATAGTTAACCAACAAAATCACACCCGGGCTGGGCGAAAACATTTCCCCCGGTGCTTTTACTAGTACGACTACAGCACTGGTTGTCGGTCTCTTGGCAATTGGAATTCGAGGAAGCAAGCTGTCTATCAAGTCCAGCGGGAAATTAATTTGTTTCAATCGGTTGACGCCAAGAACGAATATCTATTGGTAGCCGGGAAACGCACTTCTGAAACGGTGCCTGTGATACGGGGGCCGGAAGGCTTAGCTCACAGGCCTTGCTGTAAAAACTCGTTAAATCCACAATTAGACCAAAGTACAGTATTAAGCAGAGATCGCTAAATGACAATATGCTTAGCAGCAAATTTAAGTTGGCGGAACCGAGAATCAGTTTATAAGATCCAGCAAGCTTTAATTGCTTAAGCTATACCCCGTATAGAAAAAATTATTTTGTGTTTCTGGTCCGTTTTGCCCCTGATCCCCGATATACGGGACCTTCAGGAGATGGCGGATTTAGCGAGTCTTTGCTGTGCTGCACCTCTAGGAAACCAAGGTTCTGGGAAGACCAGGACCAAATCCAAAGATATCCGGACATCCTAACGCCAATAGTCTGCATTTTTGGTGGACACTGACAGGGTTTCCGAATACTGATGAAATTCGAAGGAGGGCGATTGTTCCATGGGTTGAAGAATCCGTTCCTTTGCAATTTTCCCCCTGTCTAACAAGAAACCAGCATCTTCCCGGCTTTGTAATTTTAAGCACGCGATCCCGGCACCTATATGACACACACGGATACGAGCTTTGGCTCAGAAGTATACCGTCCCGGTAGTATTGGTACCGGTAATGGTCGAAGGTTCGGGTTGTAGGGTAGGCTTGCTAGAAATTCCACACAGGTGTTTCGGTCTCGCCGTCCGGGATACCGGTAGCGGGTGCGGCTGTGCTAGTACTCGAGTACTCGTACGCCTCCTCCTATGATACTTCGGTACACTCTACGAGCGCAAAGAATCTGTCCAGCGTAGCGAACAGTCTCGGCCAAAGAGTCAGGTTTTGGTTCAAAGAAGCTCGGGACGCAGATTAATAAAATCTATTCCCTTCCCAATTTGAAGCACTACTGGATCGGCATACGAGCATCGTGGTGTGATACCGTGTAGGTCGCTCCAATCCCGCCCATCCTGCAGTGCGGCTGGAAAATGCCACCCGGAAGTTCGTACGTGTGGCATATGTTCTGTTTGTAGGGGTCCGGATTGGCTGTATCTGACCTGGTGGTTCTACCTATACGAGCATAATAATCTTAACCGTAACAAACGAGGATTAGTACTAGTACAGTACAGTATGATATGGTTGCGGAGAATTCTTACTATCGTACCTTAGCATAAATAACCGAACATCACAATGCTCCCAGCATCTAAATTAAATCAACAAATATTACTTTCTTGGCACAAAACGATGAAAAATAACAATAATAAAAATTGAGAGAAGTGCTACCGAGTAAGCTAAAGTCTGTTCTGTATATTTCATGAAAATTTCCTCACATTTAGCATATTTAGGGCGATAAGAATGCCCAAACAATTAGGAATCTCCAAAAAAAACCTATTTATCTTTCCCCTCTTTGCCTAATTTCTAAACCTCTCATATGGTCGGCAGATAAAGGAGATCATGATGCACCTTTTATCCTATAATCATGGTAATACCGGACTTTTGCAATGAGTTTGGATTGAAGTAAAATATTGCAAGGAAACATTTATTCTTGAAAATTAATTATCTCTATTAATATGTCTATATTGGATCCTTGGCTATTGGAGCCTCTTGGATGAGAATTACTCAGATTCCATAATTATGTTCATAACCATGCCATGACATTTTCTGAATCCTGTTAATGGGTTTGGTTATGTTGGTTAACGCTGTTGAGAGACCTTTATTATTGGAGGCTTTGGGTTTGGGTTGAGAATTGAGTCGCTAGTTACGAATGTTCGGTTACTGTTGGAAATAGCAGTAGATGGCCGCACTTGATGCGGGATGTGCTCATACATGAAGGCGTCAGTAGCATATGTCTGCACCCCTGTAAGACGCGTATGCCATGCAAACTTTTCTCATCCCTGTCTTTTCTTCCCTTCTGTCTTCTCTTGTGAGTGAACATCTTCCTGTACTTTACGTCTCACCTCAAGTTTTTTATCTCAGTCATCTTTAAGCAATCAATCATGGTCTTTCTCTTCACCTCAGAGAAACCTCCTATCTCCACTTGTGTGATTCTACTCCGCTGCGTAAACCCTCACTACCGATCATTACCTCCATATCAATCATTTTTCAACAGTTACTTATCTGAACGTAGAATACTACCGTAGGGCAACTCTGTCCCGCTTTTATCATACTGATTCTCTATTCTAACCCTTAGGTCACAAAACCCTCAGGCTAACACCTTTGCTTCTCGGATTGTCATGCTTCGACACTTGAATTTTTGTTATATCATACTCGTATAATGATAATTATGATAATATTCATAATTTGTCAATTTATTTTTTTCATATCTTATTTCTTACGACCTGATCTACCGTGAGTAGTATTTTCCACATTTCCGTGTACCAAATACTCGTATTCCTTTGATTTCTGAGCCAAGAGCCAGGATTATAATTGTTACACAGGCAAGAACATAATTATGAAAACATGACAATTTGAAAAGCAGAGGTGTTAGTCTGAGGGTATTGTGACCTAAGGGAAATAAAGTGTTATGATTGCCATACCACAGTAGTGAAAATTGTTAGAACCCGTTCGGATTCAGCCTTTCCGTCCCGTTTTCCCCGTGCAAACGGCGGTTGCCCTCTGTTATGGGGATGCCAGGGCGGCCGTTTCTCCGGGTGGGGTCGTCGCTGGGTGGGGCTGTCGGCCCGCCTACGTTCCCGCCAATCAGGTCCCCACGCCCTGTGGAAAGTTGGTATAGAGTTTAGTCCTGTGGAACCAAACAAGCAATTTTTGTTACCCTGCTTTAGCAAATACTCCTATTCTTCACTAGCCCACCTTCATCGTGAGGATCTTAGAGATAGCTCCGGTCAGGATTCGATGGGAGGGAGGGATAGGATTTTCTTATGGTTGGATCGAAGTGGTGCCCATCTAAAGTGGGTATGTTCTTGAAACACTTCATTCGGCCGAGTTGTATGGTAGCCCACTCTCCTCTACCATAGGTATGATATTTAAAATATGCCGACCTCTTCAGCCTACCCTCTTGCGCAATCCAATTGATCAATGGCAGCACGGAAAAATGCCAACCATGCAACATGTAAACCCCTAAGCTTGGGTACTGAGCTCAGTAGCTAATTATTGATTAACTTCCAGAATAGTCGTTCTCCGGATCAATTTGTTTTGCCTTCGTACCCCCGGAAACACCGGACGTAGTTTAGACACCTCCCAGAAGACTATAACCTTAGAAGCTACTAGAGAGAGGCATTTACTAATCTATGGGAGAGGGAAATTACCCCACAAAAATTAGTCCCAAATACTCTAAATAGATCTTAGGAAGAGAGTGCCAATTCGCCTGGCCCGGCTTGGATCTGCAAATTTGATTACCGTAAGAACTGGGATAATTCAACCCCACGTTGGGGCGCTGGAGCCACGCCTCCAGCAGGGTCTGCTGTATTTTCCTTTTTATTTGTCTTAGTTGAGGGCTGAACGCAAACTCTCTCTGGGGAAATCCCCCACATATATCAAAAGAGGGGAATTCTTGACAACCTAGTATGGGCTTCGTCCACCCCGGCAGCCTGTTCTTGTGGCAGGGTGTCCGTTATCGCATCGAGAAAACACACCTCCGAAAAATGGTCCGGGTCGATCATACCAGCTGGGTGCGGCAGTCACCATCAAGGCAGATCTGGAGATAACGAAAATGACCCGAAATTTAACTCGTGGACGCAGAGCAGGAATCGGTAGGATGTTCCCCCGGAAGACCTGGCAAGGGGTCCTTGAAGCCGGATATAGAAACACGGGGTTTGCCTTAGATCACCCGCAGGAGAACCTAGATTCTGCCTTGAGGCATAACTTGGAGTGGGTGGTATCTACGATTAGAAGTAGACGGTTTCCATGGGATCGGCGACACCGCCCGTACCTGGTGATCGACCATATTGGGAGGGGGGGGGGGGCCACAGGTGCTGCGTTTATGATATAGCAGGGCTAAAGTGAATCTCTGGGGGCTTAGGGATGTGACATTTGTTGTTCGAATATATATCTCGTAATGGAATACGTGGCGGGCGTTATTTTCTTCTGCCGGCTTTTGGAGAGAGCTTGTGCGCGGCGCAAGAAGTGGGTTCAGATTCAAAGTATACCGAGTGACATTTTGTGATTGGTTAGATGGGAACGAGGCTTGTAGGGGTATATACAGTGCTGTTAGCTGGGAACAAGTATCGGTAAGCCGAGGCTTACCAATTCCCCGATTATTGGCTACCATGTTGATGTCGGGCGGGTTCGCCGCGGTGTATGGGGGACTCGGTCTTTTGGAGCATGTCCTGAAATTGAGGATGATGGATCTGAAGCCCGAAGTCTACTCATAAGCCCGAGCACCTGCCCCCCTATAGTTTTCCCACGGGTTCTGTTGGAGGAGGTTACTGGGGGGTATCCTCATGACCGTTAGGGTGTTGGGTTAGGTCCAAGCCCAGCTTGGCAGTCATGTATTTACCGTCTTTACATAGCTTCTTTCGCCCTAATCATCTCTCCACACACACACATCCATCCCTACAGGTTCGTGCGGCCGGAGAGGCTAGTTTGGACATATGCGTGCCCCATTCAGCCAGAGTGCCAGAGCCCAAGCAGGGGACTTTTGCTAATAGCCTGGAGGAAGGTGGGATTGGATTCCGTAACAGTCGCCAAGAAGCTTTACAAATACTAGCATCTATTGTTGGTGCTGGCATGCTTGTCACCCGCAACAATTGATAGGGGGGCCAAGCCTCACAAGCGAGAGACCTTTCAAAAGAAGGCTGATCTTATCGCGCCCACGAGTATGGCTAACTGGTTCTCGGGGACTAACCTACAGCGGAAACCGGCATGACCCTTGCCAAGTGTTGTGTAGTTGGGAATTTCCTACTCCGGAAGAGATGGGAATGGCGATGAAAAAAAAAAGTACCCATCGCCAATGCCGGGAGACAAAAAACAAAAGTTCGCAAAAGCTTGCCAACGGAGGTAACTCCGTCAAAATGGCACTTGACTCTATTATCCCGGTTTCGATTGTACTGACTGAGCGATCTATGAGGCGATAAAGTCTCTTTGTGGGTAACTTATACAACTTCGTGATCTCCGAGTAGGCTTTGTGATATCATTCTAGACCAGGATGGCTGTTGCCTTGAGAACTAGCGTGGGATGCATGTCCAACGGGCCCTTAGGCCTCGCACCATACCTTTCAGCCCTAGAGCCAGGACACATTATCATACTCGCAGCGAGTAAGAGCCACGGAGGGCAGATATCGCAAAGCATATGGTAAAAGATAAGTGACTATCTAATCAACTATGAAAATTTACTGTCCCTGTCCCCAGGTACCTCTTTCATGCCACTAGTAAGTCCCAATAGTAGCAGTCCAGCAGTGCGCCTTAGACAGTATTTGGCTAGCAGGGCTACCGTATTTGAATCAGAAGCAAATATGCTAACTTGGATAAGGTTGAGTGAGAATGGTTTCGTGGGGGCACATGGTCTACGGTATGTTCTGGATGTCTTAGGTTTATTCTGGAGTCTTTCTACTAGAGTTTAGGGCCCTTCCGCAGAAAACTATGTACTACCCTGCGGCAGTTACCGTGTTTGAAAATTTGACTAAAAGTGCCGATTTCTGTCCAGCCGAGAATGTTGGAAGGGCAATTATATTGTGCTGTGATGGGGCGCCAAAGCCAGCCACGGCAGCTGATTCCGGGGCGTATCGTTGGAACTGTTGGTCTACTGATATACCGTAAAGAGCCTAGTGCTGTGGGAAGGCTCCAACATACGCCTTCTTGCGCTCATCGGCGGACTAGATCAGCGTCCGCTTTTTGCAATTATACTTGAGTACTACACCGGGAATAAGAACACATGTACCGAAAATTACCTGTGCACATCAGTACGCCAATGAAAAGTTCCAAGTCGGATGTCCCTCGCGCACTTGTCGCCCATACCAAGTACCTGTACCATACCGGTATCTGTGCTGAAGCCTCGAAACCCTATCATCGGCCTGGCCGATCCACTGCAATGCAGCCTCCACCTAATTGTTGGGGCATGCAGATCTAAAATAGCAACAAAGTCTGTTACCAGGCTATATCATCTTTGGCTCAGGCACAAAAGAAATCCCGGGCAGGCTGCCTCCATAAGGGGGGGGGGCTCGGCTGACCTCTCTTCCCCCCAGACTTTATTTCCGTATTGCTTCCAAGACGGAGAGATTCTGTCGCCGACTATTGGCACCTCTGCTGTAGGCCAGCGGTTTCCCCTCATCGTTGAATTCTAAATCCCTCGGGAACGATCCATCATAGGTAAGCGTAAGTGAGGCGAACCGGGACTTGATTGAAGTTTAACTGGCCGAAATTTACCGAGTGTAACCCGAAAACGGCCAATCTTGGCAATCTTTTTGATATGAAAGTATCGGGCGAATGCAACAAATTATAAACTCACAGAAACACGTGAAACTCTGCTCCCTTGTTGGCTGGATGGCCAGGAAGCCAATAGGAACAAGTTCGCCTCACATACCCTTAACACCCGGCGCACCAGTCCTGGTACCTGTATGATAGCGGTAGTTGATCTTCCTCTCATATCAGGTTTGTTGTCTCGTGTTTTGTGCACTTTGTGCAACTGCACAGCCCCGATGGGCTTAGCTCTAACGTGCGATTGTGGGGGGCAGAGAGCTTCCTTGCAACCTAGGGCTGGAATGATTATTATCGTATCGGTAAATTTTTACCCAACGCTATCCCTTCGGCAGCAGTAAAATTCTCGAGAAGAGATACTAAGTCTACATTCGTCCTCCGCTACTATCACTGTTTTGCGTTGTGAATCTGGACTTTCTAATGTTGAAGTGACTCAGCACCTTATTCGTAGCGGCCGTTAATTGCGAATGCCCCCAAAACCAAGATTAGAGTAGTTGGCTGCGAACTTCACCCGCAGCCAAAGGGTAGACTAACTACTGGGTTTAAGGCGGACGGTTGGTCGGGAGCGTGTGACAAGGGGGTGAGAATACCGCTTAGAGATCCTTGTGTGTGGGGGATGACACGCATGCTCAAGCTTTGATGGTAAAACAATACCTTCTTTCAACGTCGGAGCAATTGATTGGTTCAGGAGGTTGGTCGGCCATCCTGCAAGTTTTCTTGGGCCAGCATAAGCAAGGGTAACGGCCTTTTCTGGATACCAGGATCATATTCCTTATTCAAAAAAAAACCTGGGTGGAGATGCGCACAATACTCCACTGCCACACTTGTCGTAAAGATAGAACTACACAGCAGTAACACAAGAACCCTGTGGTAGGGTAAATGGTGAAAGTCATTTAAGAATATAAATGCCTACTGGTCTTGCTTCATATCACCAGAATACAGGGCTTGCTCTACAAACCACTTTTACTGAGAAGGGATCTAACGCATCCTATTGAAAACTTGCTTCCTCCGACGAACGAAAGCAGAAATCGGTTTCCGAGTCACTACAGCTCGGTTGTGTTCAGAATGTCCCTGCGGTGCCACCTCTTCTTTATATCTATTATCCTCTTGAGCTCAGCGACCTTCGCCCTATCCTATGACGATCTTACATGTAGGAGGCTAGTGGGCAACTCTTCTTTTGACGAGATTTGGAGGATACCGGGAAATCCTCATGGCATATATCTCGATTACTGCCCTAAGATGTGTGGCGCTGGGTATACTCGATATCCTCGCCTGGACCCTGTACGAAGGGTAGCCCTTTGGCTTGTGCCCATTTTTATGGTGGTTGGCAATTTTCAATTTCCACCCCTAGGATCTCTCAACAGCTTCTGCATCGCAATTCACCTATTCGGGGATCCCATACACACGGTGTATAGTCTCCTGGTCAAACTTGAGATTTCACGGAGGATACGGGCACGCTGGATCGATTCTCCGCCGCCTATTAGGGAGAGGGAACTCTGCGAGAACGAGAGCCAGCGCAGGAGATCACTTGCAGATATCGCTACTCTCAATGTCCTTTTCGATGAATGGAACTACAGCGCTTCCGGGGTATACCTTCAAATGAGAAAGCTATTTGACCAACTGAAGGGCGAGAGGAAGACAAACTTTATCGCAGCTTGTAGGGAGGCTGCTCACCGACTGGCTGATTCCCGGGTAAACGACTCTCTCCGAACTTGGCTGGCGGTAGGCGGATATATCATCGGTGTCATCAGCGCATTTCTAAAGACACTCGATTCCGGAGCATCCAATCGTACAGCCCATTCAATAGCATTTGCTATCTTGTACTCATGGCTTATTCCAGCGGTCGTGATAAGCGCGAGCGTCGGTGGATTCGCCAGCACACGTGCCGGAAGACGGGTGGTCCGGGAAATCCAAGACGAACTGCAAGATGACTGGACGATCCCAGACCCAGCTGACACCACATACCCATCAAGTATTCGCCTTCCTTTCTCGGGTGGTGTTATACTTGAGGACTCTACAACGCTGGAAGAATCGTTCGGCTTCTTCGGAAGCTATAGTTTCCGTCATAACATGAGTCTGAAACTCCCCAGCCCAAGCGCTCTCGAAACCCGGCGAACACACTCTTGGAACCGACCGAATTGGCTCCTCCTACTCTTATCCTTCATCCCCATCCTGATCGCAACCTTCACCGCCGTGCTCCTGAGTTGGATGCATCCTCCCGACGGCCTAGGCTGCCGTTCAATCACGCAGATCGCCTTCTGCGCGACCTGGTTCTTAAGTGCGCTTTTCACAAAGCTCACCGGCAAAATCTTCACCGGGAAATACCACTTTCGACTAGTCATCGCAAAAGACCTGATTCTCACGATACTGCAGGTCGGCTTCATGCTAGCGGCTTTCGTGGGGTACTACAACAGCTGCTTGTGCTGGTCGAACTATTTCTCATTGACCCGCCGGGGTCCAGCCTTCACGGAAATGGTCCAAGATGAGGCGCTAAAGAGGATGGTGAAAATGCAGTGGCCGGTAATTGTTCTGGTGGGTTTGGCTGCGCAGGGGCTCATGTTAGCTCTAATGTGCCTTTGCTCGGCCAAGGGGCTCAAAATATTCGAGAGGAGCGAGGAGGAACAAACACGCACATTCGGGGAGCTGTCGGAGCATGAGAAGAGGATTACTAGGAAGTGCACTCTTGTGAGTTTGGAGGATACGGATGGCAGCCGGAAGGGGAGCGTTAGTGAGACGAGTAACAAGAAGTTGGTTATAGCACCACTGTTGCTGAGGATGGGGGCTTTGGGGCAATAGTTTTGTATAATAGTGGTTTGGGCGAGCGGACGATTGACTTTATGTGTTACGAATTTGTGAGAAATCTTTAGGCTATGACGCTTTAGTTATTTTATCACTGTGGTCTACTCGGCCGCCGGTATTTTCCTTGGAACTCTGCACCCAAAAACAAGCCGAACAGTATTCCTTGGTTATTATTATCCTGCAGCTAACTTATACCCTAGCCCCCATATTGTGACACAGAGCTCCCTGCTACCGTCCCTAGCTTCCTGCCTTCCTAAAGCGCTTGTAGAGTACATACCGATAGCTTACTCACATATCCCCCCAGGCCTTCTGCGCGCCACCCACGTCCTGTACCCCCCTCCCGACACGATGGCGCTATGCAAGTAATTTACGGTACCGGTGTACTCGAGTACCGTAGTTCCATAAATCGATAGGATCCTCCTTGTGCGACACCACATGTCTCCCACAGCCTCACACCCGCACTAGAGTTTACGGTACGATACCCGTACCTGTTCTCGGGAACCCCACAGCGCCGGACACCAAAAATCGATCCCCTTGTTCACCACATTCTCAGTTTAGCACTACATACAAAAAAAGTAGCATTTGCCATAAATTTATATCCGTGTTCGCCTATTTCACGGAGTCCACACCATTAAAAGAGGTCGATTTTGGGTAGTCCTTTAAAAGCGGTTTTCTCGGAAAACTCTGTTGGACCCATTCCTTGTTGGATCGTTGTTGGATCTTGTCTGGTGAGGGTCGATCTCAGACCCGCTGAGTGGCACAAGTCCAATACCGGCACCACGCAAGCCACGCTGCCCTAGACCAACCAGGGTTGAAAATGGCGTCCCTGTGGCAGAGGTACTCGCTACGTGGGCCCGGGGCTGAGGGATTTGTGCCTATATCCCCTGCAGTGCTGATTGTGTCGAATTTCCCTAGCGTTCCCCATGAGCCTGGTTTTTTAGTGGTCACGTAGTATCACTCGTTAAAACGACCTACGGGGGGACCCGTATAGTGTGCCTAAGTAGTGGATATGTTCCAAATATTAAGGGCCTGTTTGGCAACGACCGTTCCGTTCTGTTCGTACATACAAAATGGCAGTTCGCGAACGGAACCATAAGGCAATTTGTACGGGCGAACAGAACGGAACGGTCGTTGCCAAACAGGCCCTAAGTGTGACAAATTCTGCTACGAAAATATCAGGGTTCCACTTAGTCAGCCCCCTAGTTTGTGTAAATCAATCGAGGACTGTATGTTTATGGAAAATCTACTTGACTTGCTCTACTTAGGATTCCTCATTGCCCTCTAACATACCCGAGAATCAGCCTCTCATGAATCCAGGCAAATTTACGAGTAAAGTGGAACAGGTACTGGGCTCCCCGCTCCGAGTTGGCTAATATACATATGTGCAAACGGCTTCCGGGGTATCGGAAAATTTGAAATTACCAAATTTCTTTCTTTCTCCCTGCCTGCTAGGACCTCCACGGCATGTACAGGGTAATATTAGGGATACTAGTCTCTTTCCCTCTTTCCCGTGCCGATCTCAAATGAAAAATAAATCGTTTGAATAAGCTTGAGCTTAGCTTGAGTACGGCTCGAGCTAAAGTTTAGATGAGCTCGAGTCGGGTCGGCTCTGGGCATATGTCGGCTCGCGAAGCTTGAGCCAAAAGCTTGAGCCGAGCCTCGGAGCCTCTCGGCTCGTGGGGAACACTAAATTTCCCTACTTGTATACTTCGTACGCGCTCAAGATGAGCTAGCCACACCAATGGATATCCTTTATTGGTGGGATCAGCCTCACAGCTGAGCAATACTAACATGCTACTCTAAATGTGGTTAGTGCATAAGATCGACAAATGGTCAGACTCTTCTCACGGCGAATACTGATCTCAGATTAAGCGGAAGGACAACAGAATATGCGGCCCATGAGGTGCGACAAGCAAGTTCCATGATGCCACCAATCCCCTAGACTTATAAATTCAAAAGAAATTTCCATCATAGGCTCACTTGCCCTTGCCAGGACGGCCCGAAGCCGATTTACACTAGTTTTAATTCTAGCGTGAAGTAGGGAAATTCTGCACTATCAACACTGCAGGGGACAAGGAAGAATTACCCAGTCATAGTGTCATATTTTGTATCTTGAGAACCGCTGAGACACCCCCGCCCTATTTAAAATGCTAATCGATAGCCCTCTAGGATAATGGATCAAGATAGGAATAAACCTTGATTTATCGCCCACCCCCTCGATTTTCTTGTAATATTATACCAAGTGCAAAATATTGATTACTTTGGTTTTCAACTTTATTTTTAAAGTACCTCCGCAAAAGTGTTGGTGAAATGGGCTTTTTACACCAAAAACATTGATTTTCGCCACTGGTAGTTTAGGAACCACAAAAGATTTTACAACCTGACTTCTGGTATATAGTTACGATAATCCCACCCTACTCCTACTCAACTCTTAATAACTGTGGGGAAGAATTGGAGAAGTTATGCAGTCCTAAAGCTTTGACTTCACTGAAAAGCTTTATTTTACATACAAAAATGGCATAGCAACGGGTATTGTCAACTTTTATAAATGGTGTCAGGTAAAAGCTGCAGTGAAGGTGAAAATAATTATATGGGTTGTAAGGATTATTTGAAGCAATTCCAGGTGTGGGGGTTGATCAAACCTGCCAATTTTTGGTGTAAAAAGGTCATTTCACCAACACTTTTGCGGAGATACTTTACTTCAAGATATAATACCTCCAAAACGAAGACCACTTACCGACATAGAGTCCAATAAGAGCTTATAGCCACCTAAAAGAGTGAAGATTGCAGTAAAACCGGTTCACCTCTCCCCTCCCTCAAGCGCAAACAGAGAATCAAGGTATAAATCAGATGCCAACAGTACGCATGGCAATTAGCAGTATCCTCACTACTTTGCCTGCCGGTCATAGATTATGGCTCGTAATGATAGTTGGCGCAGGAGCCCTCCCCAACCGCAATTTACCGAAACACACCCCCGGGACTCGCGAAACAAGGCCTGTAGTTGAACGATCTACCCCATAGCCGGTAGCGACCCTGATCGTGTGTATCCCAGTTTCATACAACTTGGGGTTGAGTATGGCCAGCAGTGAGGAAAGGAAAAGCAAAGTGTTTCAGCAAGGAATTTCCCGGGAGTGCCGAGATTCTATTCGGTTGAAGTACATTTCCAACCTCATAAAGCACAAATGAGTGTATGAGCCTTCAGATAATACGAATGAGCTGATGGAAGAAAGGGATAAAGGAGGAAGAAAGTGGAAAGTGTTGAAGCGCTGATCTTTCCTGTTGTTTTTCAAAACCGAGTGATTATCTGTGCTTTATTTTTCTTCTCCGCTTTTTCCCTCCGCTACCTACCCCTTCACGGCATAGTCAAAGGAATGTTAAACTGTGAAGCAAATCCAACACTACAGCTTGTATGAGTACAAGTACAGTCAAGCCTCAAAATCCCGAAATTCGATAACACGAATACCTTTTTGTCCCCTATGAAATCTGAGAATTCAGAAGTTTTCACACCAAAACTTGACACGTTGTCCCGATCACTCGATTTACCCGCACCGGGTAGTTTCTTCAGATTTTGGCCGTCTGGGATAGATAGTTGAACTTCCGGAGGGTTCCTCACCTGCCAATTTCTATCAGCAAACACTACACAAGTACAATCTATCGTCTAAACCATAATTTAGAGCTATATGTTATCGATGATAATTGGACCGGAGTTAAAACGAATTTGATCAGTGAATGCGGTATAGAAGACTTACTTGCTGACTTTACATATAATCTTAGGAGCTCAGTAATACAAACTGCCTCCCCAACACCATGGGATCGATTGGAATCATGATAAACAGAACACACGTTCCTCACGTTTGTTTTGTAATTGTTTTGTAAGTAGTGCTAATGTTTTGTAAGTAGTGCTAACTGAACAGCGTACCTATCGTGGCAGTTCAGGCGCTGGCGAAAGGTCAGGCTGGCCAATTCATTAGGGGCTCCCTCCCGAACGGTCCAGTCCGCCGTCATTGCGAGCCGGATCAGGCAAACTGCCAGCCATAGACCGTCTTTTCGCTTTAGAAAGTTCAGTATATATATTATTCCGGTTTACGCTGAATCAGCTTTAAGAAAGGACGCCCTAGGACAAAGAGGTGGGAGACTAGATGCCCTACGTGCCTTATATGATGTGACAGGTGTTTGGGGAAAGTGTTGGATTTGGGGATGGCTTGCCATACAGATATATCTTCTTGACACTAACAATCATTTCCATCATCAGCTTTCGTGAGGCCCTCTCCTGCAGGCCTTTTGCGTGCGGCTTTGGGGTGAATGAACACGGGAATCTGGGGGGGCGATCCCCGCCCATTAATACATACCGTACGAATAATTTAGGCAGGACATGTTGGAGAAGGTTTTAGATCAATTCATATGGTGGGTATTTAGAGGAGAATTGCGAGACAGGAAGACGCATCAATCCGGGATGATGTAAATAGCCATGAGCGCTAGTGAGCCGGTTGTTAGTGTGGGTTTTTGGGATTATTAGCTCGTATGCCGGTTAGACCGTATCTAGGATAATGGATATATTGAATTTCTCGTGCCCTCCTCACCCTCTCCACATTACGATCACACCTTCCACAACTCGGATAATATATTTGAGTGAACAACAACCTGGGTACGCTGTTTCCTATAATCTGTTATTCCACGCTGTATTCTCCCAGTTCTATTGTTTCTACTCCTTGACTCCTATCATGTAGTGGGAATTTCATCGGATCGGGGCATACGATACAAACTCCGGATGCTCGATACTATACATACTTTCCAGTCAAGTCGGCCACAGAAATATTCAATCCAACGCAGGTCTCGTAAATTTAGGGCATCATCTACAACTGCTCCCACATTCAGATGGATGGTACGCGCTCGCTCATATCGGCACAAGTATAACGACTGTAGGCTACTCTCAGCAGAGCCGGAGTCTACCTCCAACTTAACAAATAGGAATCCGGCGGACATCCCAGAAATCTCCAGTCACATCTCGCATCATTTGCCATCACTTACTCTCCCCTCTTCAACCCTCGCAACTGCACGTTCTATATCAATGATACTATCATACCCGCCGCTTCTCCATGCGCCGGGTATCTGAGCACAAGAGCGCCGTTATAAGGTGATAAACTGTGGGTTTGGTAGTGGCGATGGTTGGTTGAGTCCCACGGTATGATGCCCACCAATTGGTATTCGAATAAATAAACAGACCTACCCCGCCGCAGCGATGATGCCCTGACCCCCGAGTTCGCGACGCGGCACATGGTGCGCACAAACTATGCGATTACCGTACAAAGGGTGTGAGAAAGCACGCAGACGGGCAGTACCAGCGGCCTATCAACCGCCATGTAATGTGGTATCCAACGGAATGCCCTATAACGGCCTACAGTCGAACCCTGCTGGTCAGAGCACGACACTATGGTAGCTATGGTAGGATACCATGAGCCGATCGCGGGACGTCCCGAAACCTAATCCCAAGTGCCCAAAAAAGAAAAGGGGTAAACGAAAAAGTAATACTAGACACCTGATAATTCAAAAAGCAATTTTGCTGATAAGCTGGACCCTGAGGAGTATTATTTACACGTGAGTGAGTTTAAGTTTAAGATAAAAAACATATGGCGACGCGACAATGAAAGCACAGCTGAAGCTGAGCTGCACTATGATAACTCTTGCAAGAAGTATAAAAAAGGGATAAAAGTAGAGAGAATAAATATAGAATAGATTTTAGATATCCTTCACATAATTACTCCCACATACACCATCCCCCTGTCAAGTCGATCAAGCTAGCTAGCTAGCGATCTAGCTACACTAACAGTCCCAACGCCGAAAGCAAACCCTTCGTACAAAGCAAACCGAACCAGGAGCGAACGAGGAAAAAGGCAAAACCAGCGATTCATCGCCTAATGCAGCATACTCCCCGCCCTCCGCGCCATTAGCTTCTTCTGTCTCCGCCCGTTAATCGGCCAAGTAGGCACATTCGAGCCAATAGCCTGCAGGGCATCCTTGCTCGCGAGATGTTTCGCCTCAAGCTTCGTGCTCGCAACGGCACTGGCGATATCCGAGCCGTTCACATTCACCGTCGCGCACCACTGAATCGCAGCTCCCTGGCAGCCGTTATCCTTGAACATGAAGCTGGGCTGCGGGAGCTTGCACTTCGCCGCGTACTCCATTAATCGCGAGGTGTAGACCGAGACGTGTTGTCTGCGTAGCTTTGCCGCACCCGAGTCTGAAGTGATGGCGGTCTGAAAGATGGGGAATACGTGCTGTTGCTGCTGCGCTGCTAAGGAGGAGGGGGCAGCCGAGATGGGGGAGATGATGGGTGTCGGCGGGAGGTGTGGGTTCGCGGCTATGTGGGTGTCGTGGTGGGCCTTGTACGCCTCCGCGTAGGGTCTCAAGAGTTGGCAGAAGGTTCCGCTTATTGTGGGGAAGCCATCGGTTCCCAGCTCGCGTTGGATCGCACCGACGTACGCCGTGAAGAGGCCGGATAAGATGCGGTCGGATTCGCCGGCCTGGTAGGTTAGTGGGATGCGGTTGTGCAGGCCAAGGCGGCGGCTCAGATGGGCGTAGAAAGCCTTGTCTTCGAGTGCTTGACGGATATCCTAGTGATCTTTTTTTAGCGATTGCTCGGGACCCGGAACCACGTGACAGCCACAGGCGAAGTGAGTGTGAGATGAGGAGGGGGGAGGATTCACGTTCAACACATTCTTCTTGCTCGCCGGGAACATGGACGCCAACAGGACAGTGGTTAGTCCTCGAAGGACTGAATCCCCGACCCACGTCAAGGCTTCAAAGGTATCCCGCTGTTCCGGGCTGCTCGCAAAGGATTGCTCGTGCACGACGGAGGCGTAGAGAAGTTGTTCTAGTTCCTTGTTGTTGAAGTCGTAGCGTGCGATAGGGGTGTTGAATTGCGGGATGGGGATAGGGGCGTACCAGGGAGCCGCGGCCGACATTGCTAGGGGGGGAAGTGATGTGAGAAGTTCCTTGAAATCAAACGAGTGTGATGGTGCGTGACCTTTATCGTTACCTTTGGTGGAAGCCGTGATGACGGTATGGTGAGCGGATGAGGGTGTTCTCGCTTCACTCGTATCCTATTCTTTCCCGAGGATGAGTAGGGTGGTAGAGCTCGGTCCGGTGGGTTCGGAAAGAAGATTGAAAGAGTGAGTGAATGGGGGAAAAGGAGGAGGAAGAGGAGGAGGAGGAAGGCGATGTATGGAGAGTTGGCCTGACGGAGAGAGCAAGCGAACTGATGGGAAAGTGAGTGCGGGGGTGGCAGTGATTCTCCTTCCTTTCCCACGATTCAATTAGGATTCCTTCTCTTTCCCCCCTCCCTCTCTTTCATCCGCTAGCTCCTCCGCTCTTCAAAGAGCCGTACAGTACGAGATTGTACGGTGCCCCCGTACAATTCAGTATATTGTACTGTGCTCGTAGTGATGTATTCCTCCTCCACCAATTTAAACAAGGAGGAAAGCGACGGCAGTCTCTCCCCTCCCCCCCTTTTATTCTCCACCCTTCAGAAAGCCCGGGTATAGTGAGAGACCCACAGAAAACAGTATTCAACCACACCCCCATGACACTCTTCTTCTCTCGCATATAAATCTAATTGCCCTTAGGAATAGCTTCCCCCCTCTCAGGCCCTTAATTCGACACGCTTCAGGCCACTCGCCCCTCCCCCACCTCTTCGGGCCAAAACAAATCCTTGCCTCCGATTGCTTGCCGATACTCGAGCACTCACCCTATGATATTTGACAAGTCATTTACGAGCGGACCCCACCCTACGGCAGGTTTAGACTACCGGTACCCTTCCGCCTCCCTTCTCCTCATCTCAACGCTCCCCCTTCGCGCTCCACACACTCCCTCTCACGCACAAACGCTCCCCTTCCTCCTCCGACCGGGTCAAGTTCTCAAGATCTGCCGGTACCCTATCACGCTAGCTCACCCCGCAGACACCGAAAAATACCGTATGGTATTGTCCGACTGAAATTGGAGGCACCCTGGAAAAAAAAAATGGGGGGTTGTCGTGATGATAAACATGCCAACTTAGATAAAAGTAAAAAAGAAGGTCCTGGACGAATATCACGTATGTATTTCGCTAGTTGGTAACGAGCTGACTACTTGTACTTGTAATTACCCCTACCATCGTTACGGGAGTGTAGGCTCTGCATAAACGCGGTTGATCTTCTCGCACTCCTCACGTATAATCCTCTTGAATTCTTGACCGGGCAAACGCAACATGCGAGTTTTGGATGATCAAAAGTTTCCTTGGATTCACATGAGATTACCTTTCTCGGACATGGGTGACCATTTCTACAAGCACAACTCGGTTTGTCCGATCTTCCTATTGGGGAACGAGACACCCCGAGATGGGATAGGGATTTCCGGATGCGGTATAGTTCGGCTGAGATGGGCTTCCTGAATCTCATTAATTGGCACTCGTATCCATTGTTTTGTTAACCTGCCCTGCAACGTTCGATACAAGTACTGTGCTCGAGTATGATACTGCGATCGCATCTGCGCACCTGTAGTCTCATAGGGTTGGCGAACTTCTAGGGGGGGCTGGCGAAACATGTCAGCTGGCGATCACTACCTATACTCGAGTACGCAGGTGCAGCGTAGAATTGTACTCGAGTACAGTAAAAAGTATGGTGTACTGTACCGGAACCGCTGTGATATGGGATGCCTAAGTTAGGCACCGGCACTCGTGCTGGCGGACCCTAAGTTCCGGGGTCGGGCGGGTGGATAGCTGGTTCCCAATCACGGGTAAGTTAGTTTTCTGACATGGTATTCCGGGACAGCGACTGATAGTGGATTGACGATAGTCGGCGCCATATCCTACCCATCCCCAATCGAGGCGCGAAAAATAAACAAAAAAAACCCCGGAGAAAGCCCGATAACTTCGGATCGGATTTGGAATTTTCCATGTTGATCAAGCCTTTACACCCCGATCTCGCACCGGGACTTGCGGTCTTAAATGCTGCTCGGTACTCGAGTACTTGTGCGGTACGGTACCGTACTCGGGTATGACAGCTTAGTCTCAGATTCTCGGCGCCAAGGCACTGAATGCTTCCAGAACTTTGAGGGCCGGTGCCGCAGGACATTTAAAATCAGGCCGCGGCTCTTGCAGTTATGATAGTATGCGTGCTGTACCCCGATCGGTCGCAATTTGGCATATCTTAGGCCTCCAGCTAGACGTTCCCCTCCACCCACAATACCGTACCACACCGCAAGTGTGGGGATCCTAAATCAGCTGTGCCGATCATGGCGAAGCCTCATGTTCAAGCTTAAGGCTTGCAGTTTTCCTCACCATAGTACGCAACGACAGCCATCTACGGTACGGTAATATCTTTGATACTTTTATCTCTCTCCCCTCGTGCGATTGGTGGGATTGGGTCTCTGTATTTCTAGCATCATAGTTAGAGCTGAGATACACGGGCACTATCCCTCCGGACTCGATCAGTTGCCCCGTGTCTTGAATGCTGCGCTCTAGCTATCTAACCTACTAATCATAAAGGCCCTTGTTAGGCGAACCGCTTCTTCTATCATATGTCCACTGCCGAAAAATAATGGCTCAACTCTTGAGGCGGGAACACCCCCAATAAACCGAGCACTAAATCCAATTCCTGAACCCCTTGTGTGTCTCGTAGGCCTTCATAGATCCTCATTTCTCCCTTTCCCTCTTAACAACTCCAAAGAATACCAAACCCTCCAAGTATAATATCTAACGCTATCCCTTCCACGCTAGTGCTACCCTAACATGTCATTCGAAATCCAAGCCCTACGCCTACGGTACTCCCCATCCTGCACAACCACCGCTACCGCCCAATCACTCGGTCACACAATACCAGTACCCCCCATACTATCCGCCAAGGCCTGTCCAAGTCCCGTTGAGGGCGACTCTCCCCTTCCTCCCATGTGTTTGGTAACCCCTTTGGGCCCAGTGACTTAAGTTGGTTTAAGCCTCAAAGAGGACCCGGTATGAAGTAAGCACTTGCGGGTTCAATATCATACTATATTCTAGGTGCCGTGCCGTGTTGTGCTGGGCGGGCGGTCGCGCCAGAATTTGGATTAGCGAATATCAGAACAGCAAGGATCAAGGGGCACGGGAAGGAACAGAAGCCAGGGCATAGGGTTTTACTCTAGGAATTTCCGGTGAGTTTGTTTGGCAGTCCACAAAATATGTGTTTAGATCGGGTGCAGATTTGAGTTTCCACCTACGGGTAGATTGCTCAAGGAATCATGGATGTCACTCATATCACCCCCCTCTCACCCACCGCGAGAGGGAGTAGCTAGTGGACCTGACCGGCATGCTCGGCCGGGGTGGCTAGGTCGCGCGCGGAAAGCTACGACGGGAATTTTTGTGATAGATCCACCCACGCTCTTTCTGGCTGCGCTGCTGGCCGGTGGGGGTTAAAGGACTGTAATATTCACAGAACGGCCGGAAAAATCTTGCGGTATCGTGATGGATCCTCTCCAGAGCTTAAATTGGCTAGGTTCCGACCCAGATTTGTGACCATTGTATTTTATTGTTGAATCCTCCCATCGTACTGGAGGTGTGAAATCGGGAATAGATGAAGAGACGGTACTGACTTGTCCTGGAGGTGTGATAGGGGGGGGGGGTTTTCCCAATGTGTTTTTGCATGATCTTATAGTGCTCAGGGCTTGAAATGTGTGCCCAGTGTGTTGTGCCATGAATTGTTTCCACTTGTTAGTGTAAAGAGTTATAAATGATGGATACGGGCTTTTGGTATCACAGGGGTTCACCGGAGTACGATATGAGATTAGGTTCCGGCTGTTTTTCTTTACTCGCACTATACATTACTCTAGTGTATACATTACTCTAGTGTGGTATCACTAAACTAGTAATTATCGTGCAATGTATTGAACTGTACCCGGAAATCGGATTGGAGAATCAGACAGGTAAGTGGAAACCTGGTTTTCAAGAAAATTTGGTGCACATATGATAGGACCATTGCCAATACAATTAGAGGAATTATAGGGCGGAACTAGCTACGCACAGGCCTCAAGGGCCCCGCATTATGCTAGAAGTCTTCCCTAACTACAATCCCTAGGGTAATCGCACTAGTTTCTGGCTTCTAGTTTCCTATTGTAGGGGTTTTCCAGGGGGAGATGCGGGAAACTAGATGTAATCTGTGGCCCAGGTATTGCGTGGGTGCGTAGAAGTGGCGGGATACGGACATAGTTGATGGGATCTGCATTTTTGAGATTAGGTTGATGTTGCTCTTCACTAGCTTTTATAGCGATCATGCGGGACGGTTCAGTAGAGGTAGTGGTTCTGGGTGCACTCCCTATACGAAGTACGGTACAGTGCCGGCATTCCAGTACAGTGCCTCCTCACAACATAGCAAACCAGGCCAAAATGATAAACAAGCGAAAAAGCACCGGTAGCCGGGAAATTCAACTTCACAAATTCCCTCCAAATTATACATTCGAGTAGCCTATTCTAGGGATCAATATTTTTACTCTTTCACTCTCGGTGAACCTCGAAATTTTCTGGTACGGAACCGCTTGAAGCGCCTGCAACTGTGGCTCATATAAAAAGATATGATACTTCTTTCTGGAATCCCTGACTCCAGAAGTTCACCCAAGACCAAAAGGCAACCATTATTCTCGGATCCCGACATGATTGTTATAACAGTCAAATTTCTCTCTATGCGAGAGGTATAGTAGCTGTCTAGTAGTGATATATGTACAAAACGAATCTTAAGTTAATCCACAACGCAATACCGGTAGAACGCCAATCCCAAATATACCCCCTATTAGCAACCCCCCCAAGAAAACAGATGTTACATCACCAAATCCCATCTAAATCCCCCCCACTTCTTCTTCGTCCCGACACCCAACTAACCAAGCCCCCTCCCCACCAACCACCAACCCGATCTCCAGGCTCGGCAAACCCCTAGGCCACAAAGGTCGTGGAAGGTCCGCTTCCTTGGCCCCAGATTTAATCAACAACTCTCCAATTTCCCTGAGCCCAAAAGTATTTGCATACCACAGGGGTGTGAACCCGTTAACATCCACCGCATTAACCTGCACCCCCAGCGCCAGCAACATGCGCACAAGCCTCTCCAACCCCCTCACCGTGGCCGCATGTAGGGGCGTATGTCCCGATCCATCTCTGGCCTCCAAATCCGCGCCTGCGGCAATCAATGTAGCAACCGTATCCTCAAATGCCGCGCAGTTATGCGCACGGCACGATGCGGTCCACCATTGCTTCTCACGGTCCCAGAAGACTTCGTAGCCGTGTGCTAGTGCTTCGTGCAGCGGGGTGCGGGATTCGCTGCCGCAGTGGTAGTCCAAGGAGTGGCCGGCAGAGATACAAAGGGAGACTTGCCTGCTGTAACCATGCTTTGAGAACCAGGTTAGGGCAGGGGTCTCGGCATCTAAAGGTTGGAGGGAAAGGTTGCAGAGGTGGCGATTGAAGAGGAGGTTAAAGTGTTTGCTTGTTAGGGTGAGGGCCGAAAGGTCTTTTGGAGCGGAGAGGTGATCCGCTATCTCCAGGAGGAGTTCATTGGGGAGGGTCGTAAGGGACATTGTGCATTTCCTAAAAGTGAATTGTTTTGCTATGCTCAATCCCGTGGATGTGGTGATGACGGGATAGACGTATGCAGATTACTGGGGTACCTGATATTTATTTCGTCAACTATGTACCCCTCCCGCCCGAGTATACTACGGAGTTAAGTGGCATCAAATAAAGAAACAATAACCTGCTGTGGCAAAAATAGTAATGGGTGCTTTGTATGGGCATTGACAATCCGGGCAATGGATTAAGAAGATAAAGGTCCTAAGTCGGTTTCGAGAGCATAGTAAGCGTTTATTTCGAGGAAATAGGTAGAATCTTACCCCATCGGCCCCAGACCTCTGAGATCACTCACGCTAACGAAATAGTGCTCCTGGTTCCGTTGGGTTTTCCCAAAACCTACAAAGCGCACAAAAAAGAGCTAAGCATTGTGACGGCGTCATATATATTCCTTTTCGCGGGCTGATAATTGGCCACAAGTTGTTTTGAACAAAGAAGAAAGCGCCAGGAGTAAATCTAGAAGGGAGCATTTTGCTTTGGCGTTACTCTTGGTATATGAACGTTTGATGGTGTTAGTATACCCGGGACAGCCTTTTTTTGAGGTGGTCCGTGGATACCCACAAAGCTAGGTAAATTATCATAATTTACCTAACAGGATGTTTCACCGCCGGGGGAACCCGCCTTGTCTGCTTCGGCGACAGCAGAGTTGAGGCAGATATGGCCAGGAACAAACACACCCGTTGCATTTGCCATCAATGTACTCACAGCACGCTAGGCTAGGCTTTATCATAGTTCATGATTTCAGAGTTAGATTCAGTATTCCGGATAATAAATAAGGTCCCCACAACCGAGAAACTGCTGGCCATGATCTAAGAAAAAATCCCTTCGTTGTCATCTTCTAATATCAGCATCAGGTCCACACTTTCACCTTTCCCCGGGCTTGTTCAGCCCAGCCTCCTGGTTAGGTTAGGATTCAAGAGTTTACCAATCCTTACAGCGTCTATTTTACTAAATCCTAAAAACCCGCTCAGAAAACTATGCAGTGTCCCTGGACCACTCTTTTGAAACTGCACTTGGAAGCATTGGACCGAGTGCCAAAACATACCGAGATTTGAGGCCACCGCGCAGTAATAATCCTCATGCTATACATATTGCAATCACTTATCTATTCCCGCTTAGAGTGTATAAATATAATACCTTACGGTATGACATCCCTGAAAAATCAGTGAGATCGTGATCTGAAACTTTTCCAAATCACGATTTGGAAACATCTGAAATCATGATTTGAGATCATGACTAGCTCAAACTGCAGTGAGCCAACCCCCCAAGTCACTCGTTTCGGAGTGAATAGCGCTCAGGTGCAAGGGTGTGTGAACAGACCAAAGCAGGGTTAAAAAAATTAAGTTCGAGGGACTTTGCAAATCACGGCGGTTCTGTTTATACGTTGAGGCAGTGGATACTCAGAGTGTCATCCCTATGGCCCGGATAGGGACCGCCTCCACGGGGTATGGTCTCAGAGCACCGCTCACAGTATGCCGGTCTATTCCCTCCAGCGCACCCACGGTAAGCCCGGTTCCCCCTGAATAGCCCGCAAAGATTGCTTCTCTGAACAGGGCTAGGGGCTCAACAACCATTGTTGCCATTCCCGCTCCTCCTTGTCACTAGAGCGTGGCTTAAATTATCGATATCGCTACCCGCACCCCAAGGACATAGCTTAAAAGCATCCTGCTTCAACTTGTCAAGAGCGATTGAATATACCATAATGCTGTGCGAGATCGACTTATGAGCGAGTTGGGATGAATATCCCAGCCTCCAAGTGCCTCGTTTTGCTCAACCTACCTTCTTCCCTCTGCTTGGAATTACGTTCGAGGCGAAATCTAGGAGTCACAGACCCATATAACCCTCCCCCGGCCGGGTAGGGAAAAGCTTTTGCTTTCCATGTCCTGGGGTACTTGTGTTTGATCCATACAGGGCGGACGTCGCCGATCGAAAAAACAACAGACGCAGCACCGTAAATTCAGCTAAAGGTACAATACCGGGAAGGGTTATCCCGTACTGCCAAATCGGATGCAAGGGAATAGCCACTTTTTTCTCCATAGTTCATGTAGCTAGAAGTGCTGAAAAGAAAAAAAAAGGTTTCCCTGTACCATAACTAGCGAATTTCAGATCCCCATCCTGCAGTGATTATGTGCTGGAGGACGCCATCAATTAAGATCCAACTAGATCCACACCGTTCCCATATAACCCCGGGGTTGACATTGTCCCCGCAAGCATAAATTATGATACAAATTCCCCCACCCCACCTCTTACATCTCCATTAAGACCTAAAGTGTTTTCTTTAGCACCAACCCCCTAACGACAGTGCCCGGCGATTTCACGGTAATTTTCAGTACTGCATCGTATCATATTATCCGCCACGTAAACTTACATTCAGAACCCTACTATCGATCGAGTGATATTTAATGGCCGCGAAAGCGGTCAAGTGGTGTTCGGGACTCGCCAGTGCACACGGAACGAGATACGGAAACTGTACGCCTGAACTACATTGATTCCTCCGAGTATTCGATGTCACCATTCCTCTACTTCTGGCAGGTACCTTATCCGGGGGGGGGGGGTAGTGTGGCTGGGTAACGCGCGTATGATAGGACACTTATGATACCCATCCAGACCCTTCAGATGCTTGATAGAACCTCCAGTTATCCACCGGTAAAGTGTGGTACTCCAACACGGCTCATCGGAATTTGTGCATTCTTCACAAAAAGTGGTTTTTTCACCGCTTGGGAATAGTATAGCCTACCTTCAGCCACTGCAAATGTTCATAAATGAGAGTATTTATTGATCCCTATGGGTCAATTTAAATCGTGAACAGCCCTCCCAACCGCTCGGATTTTGGCTTGGAATGGGAAATTTGGGTCAAGTATGGGATGGTAATTGTGCTCACTATGGTGTTACATCTCTACCGAAGCGCATGAAGAGAAAGGTACCAAGTGCGCCACAACTCACTTTATCCCGTCGTTCTACCAGAGAATAAAAATGATGATACTGGAATTGGAGGAACGAGAGAACCTTGCGCCGAAAGTTTGTTGCGGTGCAGGCGTAACAGTCCCAGGTAGACAGAGCGAAACTAAAAAACAGAAACAAAGAAAGAAAAGGAAAAAACGTTATCTTCAATGTAAATAGATGAGAAGGGCTAGGGCGGATCAGATGTAACCCCTCGCTCATAAATAATCGCGAAAAAATAATAAAGCATGGTAAATCTTTTCTGTCAGAGAAGTCAACAGCGTAAAGAGAATGGTGCTGCCGTTGACACGTTTTTGGATCTGGATGGGTTGCCCCGCTAACAATGCTCTAAAGCTATGATTTCTCGCACGCCAATAAGGAAGAATGAGTTGAGAAGAAGGAAAGAGCAGCAAGAGTGGCTGGAGTCGCATTCATACCCTAAGACTAGTCATCTAGAAGCAGAAACTTGCAATACGTCGCGCATATCCAAGAGCATAGAAAAAACCCCGTGTTTACATGATCGAGCCCACCCCCCTAACCTTGCCCCCGTCTTCCCAAAGTATGGCATTAACTTCCAATCGCTGGGAGCACACAAAAGAGGAAAAGAAAAATTACTATCCCATCCCCCCACCCCCTTTCAAAAACCCGTCCAGATAAGCCACAGCAAGCCCAACCCTCCACCCGTGCTCTCCACCCACCAACTCCCTCTCCAAAACCACAATCTTATCCCTTCTCAGGGTATTCCTCGCCCTGACAATCAACCTCTTCAATTGCTCGATATTTTCCAAGAATGTGAGCAGGTCGGTTGGTCGGCCCAAAGGTTGAACTATCTGGAAGGTAGGCCTCTGCGGCTCTGGGGATGGAGAAGGAGAGGGACACGACGATTCGGATGCGGAGGAGGAGGTAGGGGGGGGAGATGCGGCGACAGTCTTGGGGTTGGTTAGCGAACCTATCGGTGGGGGAGTGGGTTGTCGGTGGATCTGGGGCCGGGCGGGCACCCGATGTACGGCTATTCTGCGGTGGTGTGGGTGGGATGTGGGGTCTGGTGGGGGCTCTTGTTGGGATGGGGCGGAGCGGAGGGCTGCCCGCTGGCCTTCGGGGAGTTGGGGCATTGGAAGTGTGGCGCTATTGTCGCGGAGGAGGCATGATGGGGGGAGGGGGGCGTGAGAGCAGAGCTTATATAGGGCTCTAGTAAAAGTGGGGTAGATTATGGCAGAGTTGAGCAGCGGGCAATATCGTATAGGAGAAGGGTCCAATATTCGATGGGCCCCACTGGAATCTGCTTTGGCTGTCACGGGCTTGCTCCTTCTACTATAGTATATCATCGAGTCATTCTAAGGCATTCCTAGAAAGAGCATTCTCGGCGAGTCTTTACTGTTCCCATCATAAGTCATTTATATTAGACTGGGAAAGATAGGCTCGCGGGGGAGGTAATTCGTTTCAGCCACCGGCTCTTAGCGCCACAATAAATCCTTCCTGCTGCCTACCTTTGACCTCAGGAGAAAAAGAACTTGTCCCCAGAAGGGCAGATGACATAGCTAATCTTAACGAGTGAGACTCCGTGATTACTGGTATAATCCCTTTCCAAGTTCAAAGATTTAATTGATGTATGCAAGGTCACACCGCTATACTAAGCAAAAATATCTCTAAAAAAAAAACACACAAGGGGGGTAACAAAAGAAATGACGCCAAATTTCAGCCTAAAGACGCCAATCGCCCCTCAGTCTTCATATCCCGCATCACATCATATACCGAAACCAAACGCTCCTATCCCCTTCCAGCGCAAGGCTCTCCTCCTTCCTAACCACAAACTCCCTCTTCAGCCTCTCCCCTTCCTCCGTGCCCCTGCCAGCCTTCTCGATCTCCTTCTCTAGCTCACCTTCCAACCCGGCGCATACACCCTCCCTCCTCTTATTCTCCGTGTAGTAGCTAAAGTAAATCACGGCAATTGCTGACCCACCAAGACACACAAATCCCAAATTCAGCCAATGTCCCAGCCTGTAGAGAGGCTTATCCTGTGCCCGGTAGAAGTTTGCACCCATCCCACCACCAAATGATCCCATGCCTATGTGGAGCGCCATAGCGATTGCCCTCTTCCCGTTTGGGGCCAGGTTATTGCTGCACCAAGTGATCATACCAGGAAAGGCAGGATACACGCCGCAGGCAGCAATGAACAAGCCAGCATATGCCAGACCAGGAAGGTGTCCAGGACGAAGTGCAGCAATGAGGAAGCCAGTAAACATAGTAGTATACGAAATAGCAAGAAACACCGCGCGCCTTCCAGTTCTATCCGAAAGGTAGGCCGTTGATAGCGACAGCAAACACGCGGTTATGTAGATGGGTACGGTGAGAAAGTTAGCCTGGGTAGAAGTGTACCCCAACTCCTGCACAATCGAAGGTAGACATAGAGAAATGCTGTAAAGCGGGCAGGAAATCCCATAGAAGACGAGGATGTGAGCGTAGATATGCCAGTCTGTGAACACTGACTTGAATATCTGTGACTTGGGGAGGTCAGTGTGGATCCGGGCTTTCTCGGCTTCTGTGAGCTCATCCTCTTCCTCACCAAATTGGTCGACTTCCAGGCGGCGAAGAAGGAACTCTTTCTCGTCTTTTGTTAGGAATTTGGCGCGGTCGGGGGTGTCGAGGACTATGAAAAAGGCGCATATGGCGACCAGTACTGTCAGGAGGCCCTCAATTATTAGGATCCAACGCCAGCCCTCCTGGCCGCCTAGGCCGTCCATTCTGCTAAGGCCAACCGCGAGGAGTCCGGCGAAGGCGCCCGCCATACTAGGTGTTTGTTAGTAACATTGGTTGATCGATCCGGGGGAGTGGGGATTAAATTACCTGGCTGCACAGAAGAATAGCGCTTGTCGGAACTGCGCCTCTTTCCTACAGTACCACATGGTTATCACGTATGCAACACCGGGGAACAATCCACACTAATAATGTCAGTAAAGTCCACAACCCCCAACAGAGTGTGAGAGCCCACCTCTGTCATTCCCAAAAACATTCTCACAACAATCAATTGATCCGCATTCTTGACAACCCCCATGCAAACGGTAACAATCCCGCTCAAGAGCGTGACAAGCGGCAACCACACGGATGGCCGAAGTTTCTTAAGCAGGATGTTGCACGGAATATCGAAGGTGGAGTACGAGAGAAAGAAGGCGGTCAATGCGATTTGATACTGCTGTGTCGTCATGTGCAGGTCGCGTGTCATATGGTAGGTCTTTGCATTCCCGATGTTTTGTCGACAGAGGAAGCATAGTAGATAGAGGAGCGAAAGGATGGGTACGAGTCGCAGATCGACGCGGCGGAGTATGCGCTCTGTCGTCTGCTGTGCCAGAATCTCCGAAGCCGTCTCGGGAGTGACGGAAGTGGTCACCCTCGGGGCTTTTTCCCCGGAGCCTTGTTTCGGAGTCCGCTTGGGCCCGTGGTGCCCGATGGAACTGTGGAAACTGAAGTGGTAAAAGTGAGCCATTGTCAGTATTCGAGAAGGGTAGTAGTGGAAAACGGGTCCGAAGTGTTTGAATCATGCGGACGAATAAATTATGGACGTTGTGACGGCGTATTTATACTACCATCCGAAGTCCCATTCACTTTGCCCCACTTTACCGATCCTGGGTGGGCAAGCAGGGTTCTGCGCGTACCCGTAGTCGCGCACAACCCACGATAAGGCGATGGGAACCCCCATCACAAAAGAGCCGCGGAACACAAAAACCAAGCAATCCCCATTCCAGGAAAACAGCACAACTCAATGCAGCAGAGCAATGCATGGTGGAAAAATTGTCGGTCAGAGTGAATGCCGGGATTCCCGGCTGTGGCCCGCAGGGCCGTCATAGTTGAGCAGAAGATGAGGCTTCACTTTTGGAAAACATGCCACCTGTGTCAAACGTTGCAAATTGGCCGAGATCTCACCTGAGCCAACTGGCATCATGAGAGGAGACGGTTTTATGGGCTGATCCTTCTCTACTTTTTTCCTTCATATTTTTTTTTGGGGGGGGGCGGTACGCATGTGGACGGTGCAAGCAGGACAAAGCGGAGGAATCAGAGCGCCTGTCTCGGAAAAAACCCTGGTAAAACCGGCTCTGCAGATGGCAGCCGCTTCTCCACTCGCCCAACTCATCCTCCGGTAACGTCAATACTCCTCCACATCACACCATTCCAGCCGCCGCACGAGGTCCCGCACGACAAAGACTTTGCCCAGCGATGGTCGAAACCCTCGGTTCTCAATTCCACAGAAAGCCCTTACCTACTATGCCTGAGAACGGAGCCGAAGGGGCGGTGGATGGAGAGGCCATATCCACTGCACTGGGTTAACTTATCGTACGGCAGGGAAGGGGAATTGCCTATCGTACCCGTGTCCCAAAACGGCGCGGCGTTCGCCGCTGACGAGTCTTCTCCATGCAGAGGCTTTACCCAGAGAAGACTCGGATTGGCCGGGTAACTTGGGGCTCGAAATCCCCGAACGCGCCGCCGACCAAAATACCGTACTGCAAGTTATGCTACTGTAGAACTCCCATTGGCAGCCCGCTCCCCATGAGCCAAAGCACCGAGACGTTGCATTGTGGTAGACTAACGTTATAATTCTACGAATTCCTAATTCAAGGAAAGCCAGAAGCACCTACCCTACGTAGATTACGGTAGTCCAACCACTTGTAAAGGAAGAAAATCTATGGGACACATCAGAGCTCCGGGTCGTTGTCTTTCGGGCGTTCAAATGGCTGAGCGGCTAAAATGTCAATCCAAAGGAGCCATTTTCCACGCGAGGTCCAGTGATCTCTCAATCCGGGACCTGAAAGAAGGAGCACCTCTGTGGGAGGCCACCGTTATAATTCGCAGAGAGTAATGATACTGTTGATGTTCCTGATTTAGGCGTGTCGGAGGCTTATTCAGCCCTACCCGGAAGAACCCAATCAGACGATAAATGTGCCAGGACGTTGGAGTTGCCTCTCCTAGTAAGGCGTCGTGTATATTCCTTTTGTTTTGTCTCAGCCGAGGGCTGAGTCTGCGGTTTTTCCTCTCGCGTAGTACAGAAGGGGAATTCCAACGTCCTTGACGTTTATCTTCTACCATACGAGTGTTTGAGTTTATCTGGTATGCGATCAAGACCAGGAAACGGTGTGGTACGGTACGGCACGGTGCCTCTGAACAGAGACCAGGGCTCTTCCTTGGCGGCTTAGCCACAGTCCACTCAACTTTCGACTGATTCCACCCCTCGCCCGTTCCCGAATTTCACGCGCCTTTCGTGATTTTAGTGAGTGTGGAAAGCCTTCCTCCGATGGCTGCTTGGGAGGGATGGTTGCAACCATTATTTCCTCAGCGTCTGATACTTGTAGTAACGGGCGTTCTAGAGTGTGCACACCTGCGAGTTTCTGGTAACCGACAAGAGTATTGCTTACTAACGACAATCGGAGTGGCGAGAGATTTCTAAGATTCACGGATCCCAAGAGTTGGCTTTGTGCTCGGGGACGGACGGAGGGATAAGTTTAAGGAAGCCATCAAGTCAAGTCAACGCCGGCCATATCTCATGACCGGAAACCGGAGTAGGTTAGACTACAAGTACGGCAGCATTGCCCTCGGAAGTTTGATTGTCCGGGATCAGGGACTGGCCCGGGCCGGGGGTGCCGGTACTCGGGCACCGGCGCTCTCATAGTTTTTTGGATAGTCTACCGGTATTCTTACTGCACGAGTATGATAAAGAAAGTACCGGTACGGTAGCATCTCCTGAAGGAGTAGCTTCCACAATTAATCAAAAAAAAAAAAGCCTCCCTCTCAGAGATGAGACATTCGTTCATAGTATTAGTATTGTTAGTATTCCGCCGCCCCCACCGACCACAGCGTCATCATCGGCCCGACAATCCCCCCCGCACGCTAACCACACCCCCACACCATCCATCACACCCCATCGACTCCACCACTAATCCGCCCAACCTCAACAATGCCCCTTGCAGCAATCGCACAATTCACATCCACCAACATCCTCGCCCAGAACCTCAAAATATGCCAAAATTTCATACGTACTGCAGCTTCCAAAGGCGCCGTTGTTCTCTTCCTCCCCGAAGCCTCGGATTACATTTCCAGTAGTGCCGAAGAGTCACTCTCGCTCTGCCAGCCCGTCGACACATCTCCCTTCGTCCTTGGCTTACGGGAGGAAGCGAAGAAATACGCTTTGGCAGTTGGCGTTGGCATACACGAGCCCACGGCCGATGGGTTGAAAGAGAGGGTCCGGAACACGAGTATTTGGATTAATGGGCAGGGTGAGATTACACAGAGGTACCAGAAGGTGCATGTGTTTGATGTGGATATTGAGGGGGGGCCGAGAATTCTTGAGAGTCGGTAGGTAGTATTTCCGACCGGGAAGTTGCACTGTTCTAACAGCTGAGGTACATAGGAGTACAGAGCCCGGAGCTTCGCTGACACCCCCATTTGATACACCCATTGGGAAGTTGGGCTTATTGATCTGCTTTGACGTTCTCCTCCACCCTTCTATTCTCGGGAATCCCGACGGCTAAGCCTGGTAACAGCTTCGGTTCCCCGAAGTCTCACTGACCCTCCGGCGCCAGGGGGCTTCAATCCTAACCTACCCCTCGGCATTCACAGTTCCTACCGGACAGGCTCATTGGGAAACACTACTGCGCGCCCGAGCGATCGAAACACAGAGTTGGGTTATCGCCGCAGCCCAAGTCGGCGAGCATAACGAGAAGAGGAGGAGCTATGGACATGCGATGGCAGTAGACCCTTGGGGGACAGTAGTTGCAGAGTGCGTAGAAGAGAAGGAGGATATATGCTTTGCCGAAATAGACAGCCAAATAATAGAGAGGGTCAGGAGAGAGGTTCCTTTGAAGAGAAGATTGTCAGTTCCCCGTTCATCCTTAAGTAGGGGTTTCTCTACTAACAGATATGGTACAGCGATGTCTACCCAGAGGTTTAAACCCCTGCTAAATAGGCAGTAGGCAGGAGAGATGCCCGGGCATCTTGTGCCCCAGATTTTAGAATTGTTTATTTTGTAGAGAACTTATAGACCACGACCTGCTTGGTATCTTTGGGAGAGTGATTTTCCACAATTGTACCAGTGATCGTCCATATTTACTCCACCCGACCAACGGGGCTGAGCAAGTGGTGAGGGAATATTCACACATCCAGGGCCCACATGAAAATTCACCCAAGCTTCCACAAACCCCATTGTTCCCATACGGAGCCGTAAATCAGTCTCGAATTTCAAAGAAGACGCAGCGGGGGCGGTCCCACTTCCCCTTATCACAACTATAAAATCCCCAGTTATCCTATTCTAGACTAGATATTATGCGACATTATAAAACTTCCGCCCCGTTCCTCAGTTGATTTCGAATCCATCGCCAGAAGCCCTCCCATATACCGAATTGATCCAGCCACGAATTCAAAATATGGCCCCCATCTCGGATGGGTACCGTTTCCGTTACCAGCACCTTTAGCGGTGTTTGCGCCTCGCGAGGTCCTAAGGTCCTCGCCACTCTCCGTTATTTATAGCCCCTGTGTCTTTTATCTCTTGAGATATCAGACAAGCCATTCTTGCCTCGTCTCGGTGATTCCCATAACCATGCAACAGTTGATTTTGTTGAATACACGAGAACGGATACGTACAGGCATTGTGAACATTCCCAGATACACGCGACTCCCCATGTACCTCTGATACCTGGCACTCAGGTCTGCGACTCATCAGTTCCGTAAAACCCTCGTAACAATTATTGATACTCCCGTTCGATCAACCACAATTTCCAACAGATTTTCCAGTTCACACACGAGTGATGGTGGATGATTACATACAGCACCGCCAGGGGGGGGCTCAAACCCCTTCTATCGGCTTCCGCTTCGTCGCTCGAGTCCATGTTCACGACTTGGGCCAGGCAAGGCTCGAGGTTGGACTTGACTGCCTGCAAACAATAGACAATCCGACCCGTACCCCCCCCTCCAAGTGTATCCGCCTAGCCGGATGCGGAATTTGATGTCGCTAGGAGCACATCACTACACCATAATATTATGTCCCTTTATATTTGTATTCCTCGCTAATTGGTATATGACTGGAGGGTCCGGCCTCGTAACGCCCGCCTTAGGGAGACGAGTGCCCCAGCAGCAGGAAGCATATATCGTAACAATCGCATAGTCATCCGCCTATTGAGTGTTTTAGAAATGCGGGAATCTCATTTTGCGCTGTTGTTTTCGTCTCGTATCTCTACCGTACTACCAATCAATTGATGGAATGGAAAAACTGACGTATACGGGTGTAAATACCAAGAGCACAGCTAATCGCATCAGATTTTTGCTCAGGAGGTACTTGTATCAAAATTTATCACCCAATGTGGGAAAACCATGACCATCTGTGGAGAGATTTTTATGGCCCGTCGGAAGCCCAATCTCCTAGTCATCCCACCTAAAAATTTAAGGGGAAGGGGACAAACAGAAAGGCCCAGAGCTAATGCTCGTACATGTATCCCGGATCATGGGGACAAAAGGAAAGTGACTATAATCGCTCCCCGTCAACTTCCGGTGGGAGCTAAGAAATTGATGGTAACGTTACCCTCAGATACACTACTTCGAGCACCAATTATCCGCATCCTACTCTGGCAATCATGCCCGTGCTAGCATCCACCCTTATCAAAAACTCTCGTTACCATTGCACCAACCAACCAAGCTTGCCCGTTTCACACAAGGTACAAGTACCAATACCGGTAGTCCCAGGTCGCATCGCACTATATACCGATACTACCGTATAACACGCGCCTAGGGCCCTGCTAATCCCACTCCTCACAACCCACCACCCGTCGGCGTCCAAAACAAAAAAGGCTTCCAACACAGCAGACCGTAACTAACGGTGTGCACGACCCAAGAATCAACTCTCGGCAGCCAGGGGTCTAGGTCATTTGTCATGCACCGTAAGAATACCAGTATCAGACCCCGCGACTTCAGGTAGTAAGGTATGATAGGATGAGGTACCGGTATTCGAGTAGGGGAGTTATAAATACCAGTATATGACCTCGCGTGCCGTTTGCCGGTGCCTCACGAAGCGTCGGGTGTCACGATGGTGGACGCGTAGCTTTTTGCAACAAAGGATACCGGCACAGTGCAGTACAAGAAGGGGAACCCATCGATGGGAACAGACAGGGATATATTCCGTTGGTAAACCTTAAATAACTGCCCCATAACTTCTTGCCCAGTCCCTTGCGAGCGATACCCGTGGTAAAGCCAGCACCGCTGCTTCAACGGCCAGATGGATGCCAATCTAGACTACTATTTTCGTGTTTTCTTTCTTAAGCTCGATCCGGCAATTTCCGCGAATAAACCTCCTTAGCGAAAAAGAAGTTCCATATTTCACGTCCCAGATTAGTGACCCTGCCGCCGTTTCACATTCAGAGTGTCCAGAGTGTTGGAAGGGGGGGGAGGCACTAGCCGCAAGTGGCAGGGCGCTTGTGTCTTGGAGCAAGGGAATGTCTCACCCGGTTTAACCGTAATTTTGCCTGAATTCGTCAACATCTCGACCTCCTGGCCACAATTACATCGCTGGCCAGCTCCTTTTTGGTTGGGATAACGACCAGCACTGTCCACGCCAGTCGCTGAGTTTACTGCTACAGTGTTCTAGCATTGCAACAGCAAAAAAAACATGGGAATCAAATCCATCCTCCTCCCCGCGATCGTCATATTTTTAGGTCGGTCCCCAGTACACCAACACATCCCCCCCAAAGCTAACTCTCCCAAGGCTACCTCCTCCAGGGCCATGTAATCCCATACGCCCACCGCAGCTACCACCTCATGGGCTTGGCCCGCACGCACTCCCAGCTGCCCCCGGAGGGCATCTGTGCAGTAGCACACCGGGACAAATTCCTGGGTTGTGAGGACATGCACATCTACAAGAAGGAAAAGGGCACGACCTACATATTTGCCGCATGTCTAGCAGTGTACGATAATCGGCCGCGTTCATTGTCCGAGTCACGCGCTATCGATAAGGAGAACAGGCCCGTGCCGATGTTAGCGGGGGATAAGATCTGGAGGTGGAGGTTGGAGACGGACGAGGTTGTTGAGTTGGAGTTACCGGGGTTCCCAGAGGGGGCCGATGAGAGGGCTTGGCATGGTTTGATTACCGTTCTCTCTAGCAAGGGTGGAGCGGTTTGGTTAAAGTTGATTCAGGATTTGATTTCATCGAAAGCACCGACGGCACACTCTCCTTCTACATCATCAACCACAGGATCTCTGGTGGGACGATCGAAAAGTTCACGCACAAACCCGACGCCAAAAACCACATCCTTACCCACTCAGCTACCTTCCCGCTCCCGGATAATGGCATCGGAAAGCACCCCAATGACGTCTATGCCTACCCGGATCCCAGCGGGAAGGACATCTTCTACGTGACCTCGGACCACAAACATGCCACGGGAATAATGCGCACGGTAGAGGACTACACCCGAAGACCCTGGAGCCACCTAGCTTACTACTCCTCCGAGACCGGCTGGAAAATCGCCAAGTCGGGTATTGCAGGTGCGAATGGTCTTGCCGGTACAAAACCCACCGACGGAGGCCCGGCAAGAATTTATCTATCGGAGTTACTTGGCGGGAACATAATTATCCTCGAACACCGGCCCGGAGCTGCCGGTGAAGTCCGCGAAATTCAGACCGTGCCACTCGGCTTTATACCAGATAACCCGGCATTATCTTCCGATGGGAAGGACCTATACATCGCCGGACACGTAACCCCACTGCGAACCTACCAACACCTTTATGACCCGGAAAGCGTCAGCACCGGGAGCGCTGTTGCCCGGATCGCGCTAAGTCAGACCGGCAGCGACTTTTTCGGTGGGAGGGATGAGTATACCAGCATTCCCGTTGTTGAGGAAATATTTGTGGACCTGGAGGGCAAGTTGATTAACGGCAGCTCTACTTCTGTATTTTGGGATAAGCTCCCGCCGGTGGGAGCCACCGAGGAGGAGGAGGCGGTAGAAGGGGGGGATGTAGTTGTGGGCGATTTGTTCGTCACTGGATTGACAGGGAAAGGTATGTTATCTATAGCAAGCACCGCTTTTTTTTTTGCACTTGCGCCGGTGTGCCCGTGCTATTGATAACCAATTTGGCTCTAGGTATCTTGAGGTGCAGAGAATTCAAGTATGACGCTAGTGACGATCCAACCGCGAAGGAGGAGCAACACGAAGATGTCGTGGAAAAAGGCGATCACGAGGGAGAGGAAGAGGAATAATTAGAAACTTATCTGTGCTTGGATATTGTCAAACATTTCTGCCAATCGAACCTTAGTCCCTGTTTGCAAGTAAACTGACTGCTCGAGTATCGCCAGGAGCCTTACATCTCGCGCGATTTAAATGGCTTCTAGCAGGGTAGTTGCCCGTTTCCCGGAATAGGAAGACTTCCACCATTTTGTGATATGAAAGCACAGTACTCGTGGGTTACAAGGTAGCCATGGCGGCGCCGTCCAGGACAAGGATAATTCCTGACTTCGTATTACAAGCCTTCTATCCGGACACAAGTATCCCCCCCTCCAAGTGCACATCCGGGGACCACACTAAATTCGGACCCAAACGTTCTAGTACCGTACTTAATTCTGGATACCTAAACAGCACAAACCTTTCCAAGCCGACGTAAGGTCCCCAGAACATTACTGGGCTGCCAGCTCCTGAATCATATTGCGCCATGATAAAGAAGAACCTACCGGTATCTTAGAAGGTCTCAGAAAGGCAGGCGGTGCAGTCGCAAGCAGATACCTCTTCAATATATATGGAGTGACTGCGAACGGGTATGTAAGCTCCTCACATCCTAGAATCCAGCAAGAACCCAGTCGACCCGAGTCATCTCCAATCCCTCTTCCCCCAAGAGAAAGAAAGCAAGAAAGAATATTCCACAAGAAAAGTAAACAAAACCCCCACCCCAGCCCGCGCACGGCCACCGCCCCGGTGGCCCGGTCCCAATACTGGCATGTACCCGATCTCTTCTCTACCTGTACGGTTAGTCCGTAACGCCAAGATACTCGTGGTCCTTAGCTCAAGATCTGACTGTGTTCAAGCCCCACGTTGCCGAGGACATATTTCGAGTGACTTTTAGTGAATACCGGTACCCCCAGCTTCCAATTTACGAACACTGGTACGTACACGTGTACGACAACCACGCACACCGATGGGGAAAAATCACGGGAAAAAATTTTCTCCTTTTTCGCTCCTGGGAGTAGCGGCAAGGAAGCGAAATGAGAGGGTGGAGTTGAGGGTTTGTAAGCACTGAAGGGCGTGGACAAACTTTTGCACGCATGTTCGAATTAGATTTTCTTACTGACTGTGGTGGTGGTGGTGGTGTTGCGCACAGTGATATTGGGTAATAAATACGATGGATGGAAAAGGTATGTGGTATCGTGTCATGAGGTGGGGGGAAAATAGTAATAATTATCGTGTCACGGACGCCATAGCGAACAGGGACGGGCAGCGTAAGGAAGTGGGGTTTTAGACTGGAGTAGTGAGAAGCCACAGCTCGTGTGCGTGAGACTAAGAGTGCGGGTACCCGAGCCATTGGTGGTCCTAGTGATCCTGGTTTCTTAGTTTAGCATCATATACTGTATTGTACTCGTACTAGTATGATGCTGTACTCGTACCCGGAGATTATTACTTTTTCTCTCTCTCTCCCTCTCTCTCTCCACCAAGGCTTTACACATGGAAATAAGATAAACATGGTAATTACCGTTAGGGAATTTCTGCGTACTTTTTTTCTCCTCTCCAAATCACCCAGTTATGACACCTCGTGTGTGTATATGCATGCATACGTCCATAAACGGAACTTGCTTTTACTTTTACTTTACTTCAACCTCCCGGGTCACACCGTTCGCTGACCACCACTCTCGCTCACTAGCCTCCACAGGCATCGTCCTTCACCTCCATCGATCAGCCAATACCGATACGGTATATGGCCAAATCTTACCTTTTTCCCGACCGGACCAAGCTAAACTTGACATCCTCCCTCGATCCCCAAGTTCCCGGCCACCACCACCTTCTCCTCCTTTGCGGGGGGGGGGGGATTAAGCCACTGGTCCTTACTACCGGAAAACAAAGAAAAGAAAAAAATATACCTATTTCTCCGAACGGCTTGGCTGGCGCGACGATAACGTACCGTACCCGCATCATCGACCAGTCCAGCTGACTATCCGTCGGACAAGGGCAGACAGGCGGGATACGAGCACTATAAGTGCACTAGAGCCATTTGTCACGCCGAGGATTTGCTGCAGCCCTGAATAGCACAGGCCACACATGTACCGTACTGTACACGTTGAGGAAGGAGGGAAGGAGGGAGGGAAGTAGTGGCTGCGGAGAACTTCATTATCTCTCTCTTACAAATAAAAAAACATTGGAGGCGTGCTACGTATGACCTGTGCGATGTGATGAGATGGGAAGTGGACGGCATACATGTAATAAAAGGAACGCGAGCGAAAAGTACAGTAAGGCAATTTCATCTTCCAGGAATTTGTCCACGGACATTGTCGCAACAAGGCATTCGGCACTGTACCGTGAGGATTAGTTGCCTAAAGTAACAGGCCCGACGCGGCCGGTACGGTACTTTTCCTGCTCGGGGAGCGTGGACTTATCGCCCAGACTGACTTGGTCAGTCAAGGCGTTTGCAGGTGAGATTCGCTTACTCGTTCACCCACGCCCGATAATCACGCGACGGCCGCCTTAGAAATCAGGAAACTCCCGAATATCGTGGATTCGATATCCGTTTCTTACGATAATCGAGTATTAGTACAGCACAGTAGTGTACCTGTGGTCTACTGTCTACCTATACCTCAGTGGGATGGGGGGAGCAGTCGTCAAACCAGCTTTGTCAGTCCGCCACAATCTCGCTGAGGAGTAGAGTCGCGCTATTCCCCCTGTGGTAAAGGTCCTCATCACCACGAATAGAAACCACAGTTAATATCTCCAAATCCGGATATTTCGGATAAGAGGTTTACCGTAATCCAGTAAGGAAGAGGGAAAAAAGCCAGCTAAATATAGACAGAGCCTCTCATCCCTCCAATCAAGGACGGAAAAAAAGAAACCTATTTTTGCTACTTGTGGGTAAATCAATATTATTATTATTATTTATTTTTTTATCTCCCCCACACACACATTGCCATCCCTAGTTACGTCGGTAAATCCGTAAATCGTCCTTTCCTTCTCTCTGGCATGGGTGCATGCCTGTCGCCGAAAGCGGTTTAGCGGTTTGCGGTACCAAGCTTTGTGGATGCGCGGGAGAGACAAGAATAGAGGCTGATTATTTGTGAGTTCTGGAGGAATACCGGCAGGGATTTTGAGTTCGGTGTGGATGGGGGGGAGTGAAGGATGCATGGATTTGGATTAGGAGAGGAAAGGGAAAAGGGAAAAGGGAAAAAAAAGTAAAAGCGTGGGGATGCAGGTACGAATCGGCTTGTCTCCCCATTCTCAGTTTCGAGGGAGAGACACTCACACACTTGCGAGCACAGTACAGTGCAGTACAGTACAGTACACGCTCCGACATCACAGGACCGTGGTTTTGTGTGCTTTCTGGTGGTAAGGAATTCGACATCTGCCATGGATGCACGGGAGGCGTGCCCACACCTCCGTTAGGGCGAGTGAGTGTGTCAGGTAGGCCAATCAGTCGGGTGGGTTCCAGTTCTATAAAGAATTGATCGTCCCCTTTGTTGTTAATCTTTTTTTTCCCTTTCCTCTGCACTGCACTTTGTCGACATCCTTATCCTTCTCCTACCATCTATACCCCCCTTCCCCATTTCCTTCTCCCTCCTCTACTCCGGCTCACCTACATCTACAGTCCCCTCCCCCCGCTCCCGCCCCACCGCTACCTCGCAATCTCCGTTTGAGCCTCTTCTTTTCTTTTTCTTGTTCCT